GAAAAAAGTTGATCTCAAACATAAATTTCCCACACCATACGTATGGAGAAATAAATGAAATGAAAATAACAAACAATCTCGTCATGTCCCTTGCGGTAGAAAAAGAGTCATTTTTAACGTAAAAAGTCGTTCATATATGCGTTTGACATATCTGTCATGATTCATTCCTTGTTTCGGTGACTATCGACAAGAAAACGGAAGGTCTTCGTAACATTATCACTAAACAATAACTTCACTACCGCTGGACAATAGTAAAATCGATAACATGATATGCTGGTTAGTTAAACAATCTAGGTTTGAAGGAATCGGTTTTGAAAGTATGCTTTGAGGAATATAAATACAACAAATGTATATATGCGCTAAGAGTTTTAAAGTTTGAAAGATAAGTTTGAATGAAAAGCAGACATAGCTAACTCGAGTAAAAATCTCGCACTGACTTCACTTTTCGACTGCATTTCAAAACCAGTATAAATTCATTCTTAGCAAGTAAGGGCAAAAAGTAGATACATTTTGAAAAAAAAAAAAAGAAAAAGAAGAAAACTTTATGTCATACTTACGCGCCATTGACGAGCCAAACGCAACTTTGCGAACAAAACATTGCAAGACGTGTAACATAAATCAAAGCGGAATAGTTATCAAATTATCGAATAGCTTTTCGACCTTTCTTTACAACGTTTTTTAAATATTTTTTTACGCAAATGATTTCATTCATTCATTCAGTCATTGGAAGTAATAAATAAGACATGGACAAACGTTTTTCAAATATTCGTAGACTAGTTTTTGTGCTTTATTTTTTTTTCTTTATTTCAAAGAAATAAAACAGTGAGAGTAATCAAAAAATTTCTCAATTGTTATGAGAATGTTTTCATAGCTACCAGCAAAGGTGGTTGTGCTCGCTTGTCATTCAGCTTGGAAAAAACAGATCCACGCATTAGAGATTTAACGAAGTGTAGATTTATTTTCAATCAACTACGAAGTCAAGAAGCATTGACCAACTCATAAACATATCCTCAGTTAACTAAAAATCGCAGTTTACAATCTCTGACGGGCTGGTCCAAAAAATACTATCTAAAAGTTATGCGCAAAGGTCCATTCTGTTCAACTGCCAAGCCCACAAATTACGAAATTATTTGCACTCATTAGCACGTTGACTTGTGATAATAGTGAGTATATGAAATTCGTTGTATATCGAATATGACTTTCATACACGCTTGACGATTTGACGAAGACTGATATTATACTAAATTTATCTTTCCTTTGGTGACACCAAGAAATGCACATTAGAAAAATATGCAATCTTGATAGCTATTAGCTGCTTCTAAGTCATTTGATCTCTCTGTTTATCTGCCTTACATCCACATTTGGGATATTCACGCTCGTAATACCGACATATAAAGTTCATAGTTGGTTTATATACAATCAAGTTGGAAATTGGACGTCCCAAGGACAGTAGACAAAAACTTCATTCTTCCAAATCAGTTCAAACGCCTCCGCAAGAAGCAGAATGCTAACGCACATGCCCACTTTGAAACTATAATTTGCTGGTTTGAGATGATGGCTACCCATAATCCGATGTATACTGTAATAACCTGCATCACTTACGATTCAATTGTCGACTCGATCTGGGTTCATATATCTTTTTATTATTATTTTCAACACAATATAAAAAAGTTTGGCACATTAATCTGTTTTGAAGCAAGAGCTATTAAAAACGAACCGAAAATTTTCTACGACTATGCCGAATATAAGACAGCATTCAAATAGGTCTTCAGGTGAAAAATTTTGCAAAAATCATTGGAAATCAATATTTCGACATACAAAATGAATGTAGAAGATTTGGGTGGAATGGTACTGTTTTTGGGGCCCCTGCCATATGTGTACAAACTAAAAGCCTTTATACGAGAAAAAAGAGGAAATTTCAGCACTTTATGACGGAAATAGAGCGATTTGGCATATAGGCGTGATCTGGTATGTTTGGACCGGATAGGTCTATTTTTGAAACGTACATTTTTATACCGCAGTTCTATTTTGAGCATTTTATGGCCAAAATAGGCACAGGAGATTTGACTCTTGTCGGGTCAGATTTTGTAGTCCGTTTGATATAATGGTTGCCATAAAACGTAAGCATATAAATCATAACAAGGCATAATTTTTTTTTTATTTTACGCCGAAAATAAGTGGTGTACGATATTTAAGACTCGACTTTGTCCGACTATAATGTTTCCTCACTTATTTTTGCAAAAAGCTTACTGGAACAAAGAACTAGTGTTACTTCATTATTGCCTTAATAGACACTTGGAGAGCTTTAGTTGAATACGTTTCAGCATTAATATGTTAAACTAGTATAGCATATATGAGTTCGTTGTGTTGTTTTTTGTGAAAGAGACGAAAATAATTAAACGCGCACAGTTATTCAATGAACAAAATAATAGAAATAAAGGAGGGAAAAAATATGGAAGCACGAATTAGTTATTAAAACCGATATGTAAATATTTGTAAAATTAATTTATTGTATTTCAAAAATAATTCAATGGAAAATATTATGAAATAACCGAAATTGCGTTTCAAAAATATTCTAACGATAATTAAATGAAATGTGCACTCTATATATGTAATATGTTGTATAATGACTAAAGAGTCATTGAAAACTTATTTGAAGTCGTTTGTAAATTTATTTTGAATACAAAAATTAATTATGAAATTAAGTAAAGTGCCATTAAATCCGTCAACTTGTATGCATTTTGAAGGCATAAACATTTCAATGCATGAACAGAAAATTAACTCAAAAAAAAAAAAAAATGTTAAGTATTATAATAAAAAATTAATTATTAATAAGCAAAAGGTAGAAGATGTGCCTTTTGAACAGGAAAGAGACTCTCGCCCTAATATTCCACATTTAAAATCTTTTTTCTATAATTTTTTTTCCCTTGCATTATTAAGTTGCGATTAATAACAAGAACATTACATTTTTCACATGTTTTTGATTTTCAAGCAAAAATAGTAAAATTTTCCTACTAATTACGATAACTAATTCTGAAATTGGGAAATGGAACCATATTAATTTTATCATTTCATATATAGAATCCGGAAATATATATATAGAAGACTCGACAAAACATGTCTGCACAAACAACGTATATATTACCGTTTCCGGTCTTTTTTTTTTTTTTTTCTTTAAATAGTCCAAGGCGTCGACCATTAAATTAAACAATTTTATCGCACACAGTGTGCCTGAACGCCAATAATTTCTACGTTACAGGCGAATTTCTTAAATATGCGTATTTTACGTAATTTGTGGAATTCATTATCTGTCGGTTCTCATCTCCAAAAGATGTAAGCACTTTTGAGGATTAGAGAAATTCAACTGACTTTCAAGTTTCAACGGCTTCGGAACAGTCGTTGACGTGCTCGAGAGCCCTTGCCGATCACTGGCACAAAAGGACAAAATTTCCGTAACGACACGCTCTCGCTTTTGTAACATTCTTTCTACAAGCCAACAGGATTTTTTTATATTTTAAATAAAATTACCTTATGGCGCATAATTTCGGGCGAGACGATCACAATCATCTTCTATGTGACTTTACCGACCTTGGACCACGACCCTCTTCTCTCTCTTTTCTTTATTGCCGTCTGTAAACCCTTTTCAAAAGCCCCTTTGTCAACTGTGCTAAAAAAATTCAAAAAGATTTCAAAAAAATGTACAACATTTTAGAGGGGCAAGATCGATCATCAAACCACTTCGCAAAAGCCTTATGTAGGGAGTAATTGCACATATAGTCGAATTCCATCAATTTTTAATACGCCTCGCCCTTGAGACAAGAAGCGACTTGATCAAAAAGTAGGTCCATATACATAGCAGAGAAAACGATTCGAAATTGACTAATGTAATAAAAAATGGATCTGTCTCAAGTCCTTCTAAGCGTAGTATGTGTTCACATAAACCTATCATATGCCAGGTGGCACAAGTGACGTAAGGAAAAAATATATTAAAAGCAGATGAATGAACATCTGTATACAAAAAGTGACTTTTGTAATCCAAAAGCATTTCTTTGTTTTCGTTTTGCTTCCCCTCACTTTAATAATTTATTGTGATTATAGTGAACTGCACAGCTGCCTAATTGGAGAATGAACAATAACAACAACAAATACTTCCACTATCTAATACATTGATTGCATAAAAAATATAATCAAGTATTTGTAATAAATGGTTACATCGTTCATTTAAATTCAAAAAAAAAAAAAACATAATTGAAAGAATTAAACCAATGAAATAACAACTTATTTACGCAAAGATATTGTTATCATTAAGGATTGTAATAATAAAAACGAAGTTAATGGCTGCGAACTTTGTATCGTTTTAAGTTGAATAAAGGTACGAAACAGTCAAAATATTATGGCCGAGCAAGTTCGACCACTAAGTACCTTATATCACTTTCTCTAACATATTTCTTCATTCCCACAAATGCCCTTCTATGGGACAAACGAACCGACTGATCCAAATTTAGCAATATTAAATTATGCCAAATTACTGTTATGAAGCAAACTTTCATTATAAGAGTTTTTCAAACATAAAAGCTTACTGTTCACAAGAACGGTCCTATGTGAGGGGATTCACAAGACTGGCTACTTCGATGGTGTAACATGGGAATACACTTTCTGAAAATGGGGCGTTATGTGAGAAGTGGTCATAAAATCGACACCCTTTAGTATACCAAATATCGAAATGTGTGATCAGCAGGTGGAAAACAAAAATGCATAGAGAAGTGTCAGGCGGGCAGGCATATTTAAATTTCCTCGATCGATCGATGTTTGTCTATCTTAAGTCCTCTGGGCGTTACATACGTTCCGGCAAATCAAATCTACTCTGTCCCACAAGCGATGTTGGGTAATAACCTATATATATGTAATGTACTAAATAACAAACTATAAAGAAATAATGAATAATATTTTAGAAGTAATCCATAATAAATAATAAATGCAAGATAGTAAAGAATAAAAAATAAAAACAATACATATCAGTACTTGCTTTAATTTCCGTATTTTCTCTCAATGTTTCTAATTATATTGCACTTATATATATATGTCTATATATCTACATATTGTATATGCCTTCCCGGTCGCTTTCATAAATAATCGGCAGAAAGGAAACAACAATTCGATTATTGCTTGCGCTCGTGTTACTAATCGAAGGAAAAAATTAATATACTCCTATCCTTGGTTGAGGGATACAAAGATTATATAAAGGCTAAAGCAAAAATCAAACTTTAGTTATTCGTATAGAAATATCGAAACAATGCGAACAATGGCTATAATAATTGCACAAAAATAATCTAAACAAAATTACGTTAACGCATGAAGCGCAATAATTTTTTTAATATTTAGCGTGAAAATTTAGTAACAGTGGCGCTGGTGATTGAAATAGTTTAACAATATTAATATTAGTTCTGAGAAAGCTGGGTAAATGTTGAAATCATGTTTTTTTAATCGGTCGGCAGACCGACATTCCGTTGTGACTAACAAAGTGAATCAAAGAATAAACAGCACGAATCAAGAGCAATGTCCACCGTGATCGGTATCTTAGTGTTAAATTAATTGTGTCGCCTTGCGTGGGATGACCACACCTTGGCACTCGCTTGGCCAACACTCGTGAATGAATTCCGTTCGTATTCCGTATTGCTACATTGCCTAAAGTGCTATTATATTTCTTTCTTGAGCACGTTAGAAAACAACATCGAACATAAAACACATTAGAAACAATTTTCTCGTACAGTTTTAACGACTTGAGGACTGGGAGAGTAAAAAATCGAAAGAACAAATCGTCGTCCCCCTTTTATAAAAAGAATATACGCATAAGTTTTATATAATATTTTTCATTGCAGGCCTTACGCAAAAGAAAAGGTAAAGCCGGAATACTCCGATCAAGTAAACGCAACATTCACGAGCGTTGCCTTTCATCAATATGCTGCACGTATGTTGCCTAATAGTAGAAGTTTTCAATACACAGCAGACAAAGCTTTATGCGAAAATGTTAGGAAAAGATCGAAACTTCTTTTTGTACTTCTTAATTATAAAAATTATATTAATGAACATAGGAGACCAAATGGCAAATGGATTGAAAGTAACGGTAAGTGCTTATACTTTAAGAAATTTTGCAATGAAACCTTTTGTGCTCCTACATCCCACATACCCTACACCACTTGTGGTACAAGGTATATTAAGGATGTGCGGACGCATGTAACACCAAAAGGGACTTGAAGGAGACCCACCTAATCGTAGCTTGTCTGCCGGTCTGTCTGCCTGAAGTCTGCCCATGTGTAGTTGTGTTCAACCCACAAATCGCAATATTTTAGAGACTCTGATGAAATTTAGTATACCAAATTGTTTTGGCCCAAGCAAGCAGTAATTTTCAGAATCTCGCAAGAAAAATTGCTCAGTAACAGCATTTCGTCACTCTAAACTGGTATGAAAACATCTCATAGTTTTTGATAAAAATTCCTTCATAATAGGAATTAACTTTACCGAGTTTGGACCACGTAGATCTAGTTGATGGATCCCTGGTCAACAAGATGATTCTTATGAAAAATAAGCCTTTGTATACATATATATATATATTAAAAAGGTCTAGGTTTTAATATTTTTTGATGAAAATTGGTAATGAATTAGGGAATTTGGGTCATATAGGCCTATTTTTTAGACCGTCATTTTAACTATTAAAAAACCTTTCAATGTTTAAAAATTTGCCAAAAACCACATTTGATTTGATAGGTTTATCTACTGAAGATAGACTCGGTGAACCAGTTCTACTTGCAAAAATTATATATTCACAAGTTTTTAAACGCTCTACCACTAACTTGATAATTGACAAATAAAAATATTATAATCGACCAACGTCATTAACTATACCGTACACCATTGAACTTCTTATACCTTTCTTTTCAAAATAAGCCGTTGTCCGGGAAGTAGTCGAAAAAGTGTAAAGGTTAAAAATTGTGATTTGTTGTTTGACTGCAAACATGCATGGCACACATGGACAAATACAGATCAACTTAGAAAGTGAATTTGAATGGATTGGTATGATAATATCAAGTCATGCTGGGTATATTACAAGCGAGGTATGGCATGAAAGTACATTAAATTCAAAACACCTTCACACAGTTTTTTCACATCAAAGAAGGTGTCATAATTATAAGATCTTATATATGACATACCCATATTACAATTAGATTTTATCGTCTGAGTTATATATACTACTTTACTTATACATTTTAGTCTAAGCATTATAAATTAAATGCACTCTCCTTATTTATTGCTTCCCAATGAAAAGTAGTTTCGTTTAACTCATTGTCTTCAATTACGAATAGGTCAAATATCGATAACGCACACCTAGCTATATAATTATCAATACGGATCGGTTCAAAAGAAATCAAATACATTCCTCTTAAATTATTCGTGCCGCTTAATGGGATTTTTCGGTTTTTTCAGTTTAAAGATAATGAGCACATTTTGTTAATGACAGAGTGTATTGGCCGTAAAAGTACTGACCTAATGAAATATTATATTTCTATTCGTTGACAGGCAAAACTCATCTCCATACACAGCTATCCAGTAGAGGAGCATACAGTGCAAACCGACGACGATTACATATTAACTGTGTATCGAATCCCGGATTCACCGAAATTGAAAAACGTGAACAGTAGCTATGAGAAACCAGTAGTCTTTTTCCAACACGGTATCCTATGTTCCTCAGATGATTGGATTTTATCGGAAAGCTCTAGTCTAGCGTTTATGTTAGTTGACATGGGTTATGATGTATGGCTGGGTAATGCGCGTGGTAATACTTACTCACGTCAGCATAAACACAAGCATCCAGACTCTTCGGATTTTTGGAATTTTAGTTGGCATGAAATAGGTATTTATGATTTGGCTGCAATGTTGGATTATGCATTAGATGAGACCAAAGCAAGTTCAGTGCACTTCGTGGCGCATTCTCAGGGTACAACTACATTTTTTGTACTTATGTCTACGATGCCCTGGTATAATGAAAAAGTGCGTACAGTCCACTTGCTCGCACCTGTTGCATTTCTGAAAGATCACTCCTTTATATTATCCAAAGTGGGAGGCTTGTTTCTGACCACCGTAGACTTCTTGGGCTATCCCTCTTTTCTTAGTATGATGCTGGGCGGTTTTGAATTATTGCCAGCCAGCAGTGCGCAAAGGCTTTTTTGTGACTACATCTGTTCGGAGAACTCAAGCTTACGATTCCTGTGTTCGAGTATATTGCATTTCATCGGAGGCTGGGGTACACGGCATTTAAATCAAGTAAGTTATCGCGATACGTTTATCTCCGAACGCCTTTAAATGCGAATTTTTTATTAGCTATGTGAATTGATATCTTTCACGCTTGTTAAAAAAGTATGCTTAGTATTTATATCGATTGACCCAATTTCAGCTTTTTGATTCATTTTTCGTATTTGAAAAACGTAGACAAAGATACGCTGTTCTCGTCTAGATTTCATACACATTAGCCCTTCTACCATTGACAGGACCATCATATAGAAGCCAAGTCGATAACTTTTCCTTATGTATTGGGAAACTTGCGGCAAAATAATAAATTCTGATTTCGACAGCTGATTGCACCTAAATTTGCGGGAAGAGCACAAACCGTACGATCATAGACTTGCAGTGCAACCGGGTACTGTCAGAGGGTTGAATTGATTTAGCCTTGCTTAGAAGGCATGATAACTGCGTCACATCGTGCCCTTGTTGGCTTTGTCCGGCAGAGTATTCACACAATGTATTATAGTCCATAGTAGACTTCAGGATGTGTACGCAAATATCCGCGTCAAACTCCAAGAAGTTTCTCTCAGTAGATACAATAACAAAAGAAATTTGAACTTACCCTTTGTATATTAATACCCATCGCCGAAGGATGAGAGGTATATTCATTTTGTCAACACGTTTGCAACGCCCAGAAGGAAGCATCAGAGATGCTGTAAAGCATATATATTGTTGATCAGCATCAAATTCTAAATCGATTTAAACACGTTCGTGTGCACGTCTGTCTGTCTATAAAATGTCTGTTTTAAACATTCTGTTACCCGGAAAAATGAAGCTATCAACTCCAAATGTGACCGAAACACTGGAAGTTCTTGCATGCAGATAGGTATTGAAAATGGACGAAATCGGTCAAATGGCACGCCCACAGCAGCACGTAAACTGAGAGCACCTTTATTTTTCGAAGGGAATAAAAAATGGCTCATTACTCATTGCTCATAAACTATAACTAGTATACGTACAAAAATTTGAACCCACATTCTATTGACGATGCTGTAGGATTCGTGCACAAAAATGAAAATAATTGACCACGCCTGCCCACTGTTATAGTGTATCAAAATTTAATTGTTTTTTTAATACCTTTCTAACGCACAGAAATAGACTTCAAAAACCCCATAAAGCAAACAAATCCTTGGCTAGATTCAAATCTTGAATGCATCTAAACATGTCTGCCTGTTCATCTGCCCATCTGTCTGTTTGCGCAACTTTGTAGTATTTGTGCTCAACAAATATTTTGCCCCCTTTGCAAATTTGCAAAAGAATTTGAAAGTGACCTAAACTTTTCAAAGGACACACCTACAGCGCCCACATGCCTCTGCGACAAAAACTTTTATTTTGAAAATAGAAGAAATCAACTGCGCCCACTCCATAATATAGGGCATGAGAATTTTGTTCTTTTAGTTCTTTTGTTTTTTTTTTGGGGATAAACGACGGTGGGTATAAACGATTCGGTTCAGACCGAATTAAATTTTCTTAGTTATTTTTTTATTGCCACTCTTTTCATCAAATTCGTGTTCTTTACTTTATTGTCAAGTTGCACTTACCGCCATTCTCTTATATGATTAAAAACATCCGGTGTGTGGCTAAATGGGCCAGGCTATCGCGTTATTGGCACTTCTTGGTTTCGTAGCAGTAAGATAAACTTAATACAAGACATCTTCATGAGCTATGGAGAGCGAAATTAATTTCTATTCTAATTAAAATAACTTTATATTTTTCAATCTTTCACATATTAAATGCTATGTAATTATTATTAATTATAATTACTAATTACTCTTAATTATTAATAATACTTTTAACACTTTTTTTTATTAAATTGTGTTTACATTTAATTATTTTCCAATATTTAGACTTTGCTGCCGCATGTATGCGAAACTCATCCAGCTGGAGCTTCAACAACGCAAATTATACATTATCTGCAGCTATATAGTTCGGGCGACTTTAAACAATACGATTATGGTATAGACATCAATCTCAAGAAATACAATCAAGAAACACCACCTCACTATGAGCTCAAAAATATCAAAACCTGTGTTGATATGTACTATAGCGATAACGATTACATGTCGGCAGTAAAAGACGTCGAATATTTGGCGCGTCTCCTGCCCTGTGCAAGACTGTTTCGTATTCCATACAACGACTGGAATCATTATGATTTTCTTTGGTCAGTCAATGTAAAGGAAATTATAAATAAACGTATTATCGAAAAAATCGAACGATACGAGGAAACACATGATCACATAAAGAACACATGACAGCTACGAGAGCTATAAAGAAATTCAACAAATAGTTCAACCATATCGTCGTGATACTGCTATAAGCAAAAAATTTGCAAATTTTTAGGAAATTCAAAGAGATTTTTAGGCAATTTATTTATTTATACTTTCTTATAAGCATACGCAAATAGTAGAATAGAAACCAAATAAATTTAAGATAAGTAAAATGCGTTATCTCATTTCGATTACAGAAACCGGTTTCAATTCGGCTTTTATTTTTACACCCGTCACGGTAGGACCCTATAAAATGTATATGTTCTTGACCAGCCTGAAATTCTGAATTGATTTAGCCAGTCCGTCTGACCGTCTGTGTGATGTGTATTGTTGGCACTCTCCTGGTCGCAAAAATGAAGATATCGACTACAAATTTGGTAGAAACATTGGAAGTTTCTGCACGCAAGTTGGTACTGCGAATGGGCCAAATTGGTCAAAGCAGAAGCCGGCAGTGGAGCACGAACTGAACTCAACTCCGCTTTTTTTAACAAAAATTTCCGTATTTTTACTCACTACTCGGAAATTATTAAAGTTTTTTTGACTTCTTCTTAAATGAAGAAAAATGGGTTAATTTTAGAATGAATATGGTAGACACTGCGATTAAATTTTTCTTAATAATGCCAATGATATGTGTATCAAATAAAAAAACTTGGAGAGTAGAATGCGAAAAACATAGTGGTGGGTATGCGAGATTCGTCCCTAGTCGGATATAAATTTTGTTAAATATATCTTGCTTTTGCTCGAAGAAGGTATCATTACAGATACTTTCTTAGGAAAAGCCTTTCAAAAGGTAATAATTTATACTAAAAACTTGCAGTTGGAAAATTCAAAAGTATTTGTTTTATCAACGTTCTAACTGGTGAATGGCACTAACATACATAGAGGAATAAATTTAATTTTTCATATATTCAAGGTTTTCTCAAAGATGTGCAGCTCTTGGTGCATTCTGATAAACCAGAGTGCGTAACGACCACAAAAAATCCATAACCGATGAACTCGAAAGGGCTAACCGGAGGTTGGCACTCTCATTGACATCGATCAAACTCCGAAAATCCTTGGGAAAACTATACGACAATCGGCTTGTTGCTCAGCATTTATGTAGAACTTGATATGCAATATGCAAACTTCTGATTATAATAGAGCGTCTGCAACGGGCGAACTACCACCAGATCATCATCATCAGTATAGCTTGTAGATTGCATTGAAAAAATAATGTCCTGCTCAAGGTAGCATGTATAATCAAAACTTGGTTGAATGAAGAAGGCGAGATTTAAGATTTTTAGGCAGTAATAAGGTATTGTGTTACTACGAACTAGAATCCGCAGAGAGAGAGTATAGAGAGCAAGGTTTCAACTCAATCAAGACAAAACAATACACACGAAAGTATAGAAAGATCGCGGAACTAAAAAAAGTAAAATTGTTTTAATACGTCTGTGGCATTAGGTGAGGAGGACAGAAATAAAATATAGTATACATAATAAATGTAAATAGTATCGAGCCGCAACCGTTGTATGCAGATTGGGCGAGAACGCTTGGCTTTACTATTTTACTGTTTTCTATCGAACGTAAGAAACTTCTTCTTCTTTTTGCAACTTTTCAGGATTTGCAAAAATTACTTACGTTTTCCAAGCTTAACGACTCAGTAAAGCTGAACATGAAAAATCTATGAATTGCGTTAATAAATTTTTATATCTATTAGTAATGAGTCATAGTTGGTCTACTTTTTGCGAAATCCCGCTGCATACATAATTTCCCGACCTGCATAGGGGTGGATTTAATGCTGTTTATTTACAAACTTTAGGAAACAGTATAATCCACTAGGGATAGGTTTAATCTTAGTTAACACTCACAGATCAATTTTGAAAACGAATGCGATGCTCCTACTACACTAATAACATTGAATACTTCAATAATTAGACCCAGAATATATAAGAAGTTATAAAGATTAGCCCAAATTTTCTTAGGTACACCGAAAACTCGTTTATAAAGAAATCGTGTAAGCAACACGTTTATCAAAATATTTTATAATTCCAGCTTACCAATTAACGATAATGAACACCCAAATTAATACTACATTAGACAACACTTTTGTAGTCGCGATTATTACGCCTTGTGATGCGGCTTGTTACTCTCACCTAAATTTTGAGGTTATCTTTATTTGCGTTAACCTATGTATACCCTTTTAGCCTAATCCCCCCACGATTTTACAAGTACAAGCTGAAGTTTTACTCTCTATTGCGGATATAAAAAAACAAAATCTGTTTTATCTGGCTACCCTATTCATGAAAGGAAAACCATATTCACCAAAGAATTTAGTAACTAAAATATTCTCCTTCTACGATTTGACAACATAATGTTAACATAATTTTTGATTTTTGTTTTGTTTTGCAGTTCGTCTCCATTTCTCGATTGTTATACTGTTCGAAGACTAAGCGACCCATTCGGTCATCTTTATCATGTATTAACTGCACCAAAAGCATCTCTGACGCGTCTAATTAATTCTTTAGGTTATCACTCTATATAAACGCTTTCGAAGCTGCGAAGCCGCTCGGTGGCTAATCATCCAGATATTTGTATATAAAACTATTTCAGCTAGCATTTTAGGACATCATCGCCCACATCCTAACTAAGCCAAGTAGAGATGGAGGAGTAAGATGGAGACTTGCGCCATTGTGCGGCCTTCGACGTCTTCTTATTCCTCTTAAATAAAACAATAAATAAAAATTAAACAACGTTTCTCTGATATTGGTTTGCCTACAAGTAATTCATCAATCGAAACCACTTTGTCCTTAAAACAAATCTGTTCAGACGGGCAAAACTATTTTGGGATGAAAATTATTCATCATTTTACCCAGTAGCAGGATTCCGCCTACCAGCGTGATGGATCTTTACCTACAAAAAAATTAGCCACAACTCGTTGGTGCCGAAATGGAAAGGAATTTTTTTTACTTTAACAGAGATTATACGAAGTTGTACGAAGCAGGGGAGAAGAAGTTTGTGAAAGATTTTCATAAAACTGAAATAAGAAAAACCCCAAAAAATTATAAAATCACTTAGAAAAAAATTGTTTATTGAAATATATAGCATTTATTAATTTTGTGTTGGTGGTTTGATATATTCGTTCGACGGTTGCTGGACAAGAGTTTTTTGTGTTTAATGAAATCTCTGGGGAAGTCCTTCATCCAAATGAATTTTTCTTTACTTTTACCTATTAATAAATTTGGGTACCTAAATAAGGCGCAATTTAAAAATATTTTATCTTCAATTACCGCTGAGCCTATTAGGAAATACCTAAATCATGAATTACAAACTTTTTTTAATAGGCAGGGTTTAGTAATCCAAAGCCCATTCATTTTTAGCGACGAAAACGTCAACCACTTCTTTCATAGAAAAATTCGTTATAAGTTGATCTTGCGTAGGTTTTATTCTCGTAACTGGATCGAAGTGACCAACGCGTTGTAAATGTTCTTCAACATTTTTTTTTTGGTTCGTTACTGTCGCTGCCTTATAAAAAAATTGGCAGGTTTTTGTAAATCTGGTATTAAAGTCGAATCAAAAAAAGACTATATTTGTTAAGACAAAAAAGATGGTTAATGTATGCTAGTTCATCGGTTACAAGTGATGATCATCGATTTAATGAATGTTTTGAATACATAAATTTGCGTTGGATTCCATTACCTAAGGACGAAATGCTCCGAGTTATTTCATGCAAGTAAATGCAGTAAGAAAGAAGGAGAAGAAAAACATTCTTTTATATGTTGTTCATATGTATTCTTTCATATATGGCGTTCACTTTTTTTTTAATTTTCTCTTCGAACATCTAACCTGGTAAAAAAAAAAACTGGTCTTTTTCTCTTAAAAATAGATGTATAAGGAGTTGCGTCGCCAAATAAATATATATATTATGAGGAGCCAAAGTTGTACGTCGTTTTGGCCTCACAGTTTCTCCGTCTCTGGTGGGAGAATAGTGCTAGCTTAAGGTAGAGAAGTAACTTAGAGAATAAGGTAGAGAATAAGTTAGAGGATAAGTTAGAGAATAAGCCCCAGAGGACGGGCGCGTTATACCCTCACAATATATATATATCAATAAAAGGCACAAGGCGTTGAAAGCGCATAATAGGCAGCGCCCATGCCGGCGTAAGCGAGACAAATGATTCGAACCATGTTAAACGAACCTTTGTTTGCTTGAGATATTAGGATAATTCTTTCTTTCATAATTTTCTAATTCGTTTCTGGAGGGAAGCAGTATCTATCAGAATCAATTTGTAAATTTTTGGGGTCTGAAAGGCGAAAAATAAACATCTTGAGGAAGAACAGTTATTTAGGAATAGCTCACCAGTTACTAATTTTTTCATCATCATCATTGAAAAGACGTTCTTTAAATGCTGCGAATAAAGCTAGACCGTATTTAGACCAGCAACGAGCAAAGTGGCAACGCGCCGGGTTGTATGTAGGCACTTCCCTAAAAGAATCATAGCACCCTTCGTCAGCTTTCAAACCAATACGATCTTTGATAAAATTTAAAACTGACTGACAGAGATAGGGATACGTTCTGAAGAAAAATATTAGGCTCAGACGACAAAATCTAATTATAATATGGGTATGTCATATACGAATGACATTCCGCAAATAGCAAAACATGAGCACCACTACTACTACTATATTACCTGGCACCATTTTCCACACCACCCTTGAGGTACCATGATAGGCGTATTGCCAATTGTTTTGAATGGCTGGCTCCCCTTTAGACCTACACCATTATAAACTTAACTTAAAATCACTGTTGTTGTGCTGGTATCTGCAAAAGAAAAATATTGTGGTTACTGAATTTTGTATATAAAGATGACCGCAAACTTACAATTTGGCCAATAGAGTTATCGCAATCTGCTGAAGCGATGCATGGAGGCGTATGCTTGCTTTTTAATCTGAAATAAAATAAAAAAATAAATAAGTAAGTATAAATGCAAACTTACCTTTGGCATGCAGCGAATCTTCATCGATATGAGGCAATGAGTGGAGAGTTCGACTTCATTCTTTTCTTATCTAAAATAGACGAAACAAATAAGTAATATATAAATATACATGTATAATATCATAATTGCCTTTACTCCCATTTGCCGTCTCAAGGTTTTCAATTCTGCCTTTAGCCGCCGATTTTCGTCCATCAGCGCCGCCTGCGCTGACGTTGATTAAATACTGGATCGTATAATGTAATGACAGGGCTTTCTACACTAGGCGTATTAGCCCCGTCAGTCCTATCGGTCAGTTCTATTTCCCCCTCCACCTCACCGTCAGTGTCAGTGTCGTTTATCATCATTTTCGCAATTAATGTGTATATAGCTTTAACTCTGTATATTCCTCGTGGAGCTTTAACAAAATTAATGATGTCGCAAAAAATGCAATAACGCAATGTAAATTCATTTGCTTTCCATTTCAACAATTTGTATAAAACTAAAGTAATTTACTTAATTTCTTGCCAAAGTCTTCTTATAACTATTCTAATCAATTATAAGGCAAATTTTCCTTTACAACCATAAATCTATGAAGTAATTATTATTTTTTTGTTTGTATATTGAGTTGAGCTGGATCAAGCCAATAAATTTATATCCAGATAATAAACAGCAGTAATTATTGGCAAGAAATGTATATAAAACAAAACAAAAAAATGCAGCCGTGATAGTTAAAGTCGATTATCAGGAAGCTAGTAAGAAGAACTTCCTTATGCTCTGTAACAGCATCTCATGATGAATATTGCGACTGGAAAGTTTATTGCTGGTGTTTTTTGCAGCAATACATCGCTCAATTGGCCACAAATATTGTGCTTCGAAGTCGATGTATACGCCTCTCGTGAATTCACCCATGACTTTTTGCTCTTGGGATCGTCTCCGTAGACCAAATACGCCACAGAAAACTGCTCTTTTTTTGCCTGGCAAGCGATAACACCGCGAGATTCAAACGGTTCAAAATGGCATTTTCAGTCAATTCGTGTGGTACCCATTTTCCCTCATTTTAGATCTTTCCCATTGAATGCAAACGTTTAGAAACAATTGATTCATCACCTGTTAAGCTGTTCGGAAGTTCTTTAAGAACTTGAACTGGATTTTAGTCCAATAAGTCATGCAGTTCGTTATCCTCGTACTTTTTGGTCCTGCAGAACTCTCTTTGTCTTTCATCAAATTCACCACAGTTAAACCATTGAAAGCAAAACCGACAGTTGGGATATAATCGGGCATCACCATAAGCTTCTAAAAGAGTTTAATGGGCTTCGACAGCAGATTTCTTCACATCAACCAACAAAAGTAAAGAAAGAAAATATTACTTACAACAATAAATGTCACTGATCAAAACAGATGCAAGCACCAAAATATGGTTATAGTTCAAATTTAAAGTCGTTTAAGAATTCAAAGCGCCAGAGATTCGCCCAATTCTAAAAAAATATTATAGCTTCGTCATCATGTAAAGGTACCCAATAAAAAAACTGCCAAGGGCACCATTCCTCCCTAATTGTAACCCATCTCTATATTTCCATTGGGATCAAGGAAAAACTTCGTAGCGGTTTCCCCAATAGGCGTCTCCAGATTCGTGTGTCATTAATAAAACTAACTCCATTAAAGGATTTTATAACGTCTGCGAAATGTAACTGCAATAAGGCGATGAAAAATTAGAAAGCTTTAGTGTCAAAGTTCGATGCTCCCATTGCGTTGGCCATGAGTACCACCTTCTCAAATTGCTTATGCAGAAATCTCAAGACATGCGGTGGTAGTATAGTATAATGGCTTCACCAGATAGCTGGCTGAAGATTGTTGAAATAGCTTCACGGAATCAAAAATTAAAGACGAAAATATGAAAGAAAAATCAGTGTTTCTTTGAGGTATTTGCATTCCCTTCTATATTCTGGACGCAGCTCGTAGACGTTTTTTAAGTTCATATTCTTAATCGATCAAGAAGTGTTTGTGCCAAAATTCAGCTTGTTATCTTCTTTTCTGTCACTGTAGTGATTCCACAAAAAAATAAAGGTCAAAATGAAATGAATAACGGCGTAAATGGATATATGTTGTCTGTATCAAGAGAACTAAAGCATATAAAGAAAAGTTTTTAATGGCTACTTTAAAAATCTTCTCATGTAAAAATGAAAGTTAAAATGACCATATTGAGACACGCGGTAGTTCCAGTGTTAAAATATACAAAAATTTGTTTGAATATCTGTGGAAAACGCCTTGAACTTCTGTTTTGATCTATTCTTAGTACTTCTTAAAACTTCCACTACTTAAAATTTCTCTCTCTAAATCGTAAGCTACGCTAGGAATCATCAAATAAATAAAACTGCAAGTGTTTAAAAATCCGCATCATCTGAAAATCATATTAAGTTGTGGGCTGTAGCATACCTATATTCAAAAAATTAAAACACCATTTACAAGACGTGTATTGCGACTACTTATGAAATGGAAGGTAAATTATTTGGATATCTGCCAATGAAAATAACTGACATCGTTTTCGTAAACAAGTGGGATAAAGTAATTAATATATTGATCCAAACGTAGAAAGACTTTTACATTTAAATCGAGAGGCTTTAACCAAGCGAAAAGTTAGGCAAGAGATGCTCTCTGAAGTTCGTAACAAAAATCAGGCCAATGTTTTCACTGGTCGCCGAGAAGTGTTTATCTATTTTCATCTTAAAAAGGTTGAATTTTTCAATGCATCTTTACTTTTCTGGTCAAATGCGAACGATCAGGTGTCATCAATGCGTAAAATGCCTAAAATTAGACCGCCATAATTTTTATTATCAAATTAAACAAAGCCGTCGCTAAATTCCCTGTTGAAAGGCAAAGCACAGAGTCGCCTATAATAAATAAATGGTTAAATGCCCAACTAACAACTTAAATGGTAACCGCTGTTGTATGTCCAAATTTAACAGACAAAACACATTCAACTCTGTTAAAATGCAAAGCCGTCGGCAAAAACGCATTCAACTCTTTTAATAGCAGTATTAGTATCTAATATATTTTTATTTTTTATTAATAAATGTATGTTTTCATGTAAAATTTCTTAATTTCTTCAATTTTACAATATTTTTTATTAATAAATGCATGTTTTCATATAAAATTTCTTAATTTCTTCAATTTTACAATATCTTTTATTAATAAATTTATGTTTTCATATAAAATTTCTTAATTTCGTCAGTCGTGTTCTCTGACGTTCGGATAAACGAATCGAAAAAATGTAGGCCATGCCATATAATTTTTTATCCCTTTCAATTGTTGTTACAAAAATATACATACGCATAAACTGTTAAAGAATTTATTATGAAGAGAATTTAAAATTTCTTTTTTTTATTAATGCGGTATGCAATTTTAATTAAATTAAAAAATAAAATACTATTTGCCGCAAAAGTCAATTCCGTAACAAGCATATGCTGAAAAGTGGCGATTCTTTCTATTTTTTTCTCTCTCTTGCATACACCAGTAAAAGAAGATTTTATAATGAAAATGCTAGCAATCTTTGCGATGGAAAATAACAATTTTTTGTCATCGATAACTTTCAAGGCGATAATTCCCACTTTTACCCTCATTTTGAACAAGCAAGACATACGATTTTTCAAGGTGTAGACAAAAAGTAAAAGATATAAAAAATTTTTTAATGTGTAGAAAAAACAGTGAAAGAAATCTTTATAAAGAATTTTAATAGTTTCAGTAAATAATTTTTTACAGTGCTATTTGTTTACATTTTCTTGCGCATATAATTTGGATGAAAAAGGACAGTTGAGGAAATCCTAATTGTGGAAACACGCCAATGAGGAAATTAAATTTCTATGCCTTCTATGCTGCTTAACTTTGCATATAATGAGTAAGTAGGAATGTTTTACTTGCTAGTTAAGCTTAAATTCTATTTTGCGAAATGTGTAAGCTTGGTTGTTAAATATTTACAAAACATGTAAAATAAAACGAATCTTTTAGAATGTTAATAAACTATCCACAAACTTTTCTACAAAATGCCGCTAATAATATAGGAGACACCAAAGACACCAATCAATGTAAAATTTTTAGTAATTTCAATTAAAGAATTTGAAATTTGTACAATATTGTTGCAGAATTTGGGTTAATCTCAGTGCTTGATAAATTATGCATTGTTACGCGATTCAACATACGCTTCATGACCATAAAAAAAATCGCCAAGCCAAAGTTGAAAATTGGGGTAAATTTTGGGAGGAAATTCGTTCCAAATAGCGACTTGAAAGCAAGCTTTCATTTGAGCCTTTACACCGTAACAAGTGCTAATTTAGAATAAATTTACCAAATTTGGACCCCATATGATCGCTTCCTTACTGTAAAAAGTAAGCATTTATAAGGTAACAAGGCATGATTTTGGATATTTGGGGATCGAAAGAAGTTTGCATTAGATGAAGAAGCTCAGGATATTTAAAGATAGATTTTGCCTAAATATAATAATTTTATTGTTCTCTTTTGAGATATTCAAGAACCATTCAAACATCTTCAGCTGAGTGTCGTTAAAAAAAAGTTAAAAAATGTTACAGAAAAAATAAAACGGTTAAAGAATATATCTCTCCGATTTCGTCAAAGAAAAGTTTAACCTTATTTTAGTCTTAAAGTAAACATGATGGTACTCGTTTTCTTCTAGGCAATTCCACACTTATCAACGGATCCAATGTCACCGGAAATCAACCAGTGCTAGTGAAACTCTCCACTGGTGATGGGGTCCCAAAACTTTTTTGTCCCATTTGCAATAAAGCTCTGACCTCCCTAAATGGTTATGTGAAACATGTAAAAAAACATGAATCTCCTGGTGGCTTTTTTTGTCGCTATTGTGAAGCACGTTTTTGCACGGATGAAGACTTGAAGAGACATCGTGATACAATTCATGTGACGATTGCATGTCGCCTCTGCAAAAATACAACGTTTACTAATGAAGAGGAATATCGAATTCACATACGCGATGTACATAAAGGCGTTGATCGCGAGTTATTCAAGTGCGACAAATGTGGGGCTGAATATAAGACAATTGACCCATATCGGCGACATATATCTACTGAATGTGGTACCAAAAAACCTTATAAATGTGAGCAATGCGCAATGACGTTCGTAACTAAATATAATCTGAAACAGCATATAGAATTTCATACCGGCGAGTTGAAATATTGTTGCAGTTATTGTGGTAAAAATTTCTATCAGAAGGGCCGTTTAGTAGAGCATGAAAGGTCACATACAGGGGAGAAGCCTTATAAATGTGATGTAAGTTAAAAAGCGTAAAACAATCTCCAAAATCTGTCGTAATTCTATCAACTTTTGCATCAAGGTTTGTGGCAAATGTTTTTCGCATCGTGAAAGTTTAGTTACTCATTCAACAGTACACACCGGCATTCGTTTGGTAGAATGCAGGTGCTGTCAATCCCGTTTCTCATGTTATTCTAATCTCATAAAACACAGACGCACTCGTCCTGACACTTGTGGCCTTCCCGACTACGACCCACCAAAAAATCGTGTTCGCAAATTCACTTCAAGAAGTAAGCTATATATTTAAATGTACTTTGTATTTAGTTACTTCCTACGCTTGTTCTTCACAGTTCCTGCGACACTTAATCCCACCTCAGAAATAAAAGTTAGCAATGTTAATAAAATTATTAAGCCCGACGATCAAGAAAAAATTGCTTCGCAAAAAAAAGAAAATGACTGTAAATCCAAATCTAAAGTCGTCGGTGGAAGCCGTAAGGAAGGCTTAAGCAAAAAAGTTACCAGAAAAACAAAGCTTAGCGGTGATACTGAAAATATGGAGTCCTCAGATATTACCGAAGAAGAAGACAATAAAACGGACAAACTAAAAAAATCATTAAGATCCAAATCAAAAAAACCTTACACCCTTAATCTAAAGTGTTCTGATCATGATGACAATAACGATGATGATGATTCGGTAAATTTTGAGCCTGATGAAAACGACGTGGACGAAGATAATGGAGACTTTAAGCTACCCGCTTCCACAACAAATAAAGCTGAAATTAAAAAAGAAACCTTAGAAGAGGACCTTAGCAACAAAATAACGCTGCAAATTCAACCTTTTGAAGATTTTGAGTATTCAACGTTAACTACAGACAACGCGAATGTTAAGTCAGAAGATGAGGAGGAGAAAAACAGAATGTTAGAGTGCTTAAACTTTTTCAGTGAATGTGATTACCCGGTACTAGACGATGATGTTCCTTTAAGGAATTACCAGAAAAAAAAGGTACCTTTTAAATATCAGCTGGCCGAAAATGTTATAGATGATATTTTAGAAGAAACTGAACTAATATTGATTAAAGATGAAGACAGTCATCAAACTACAACCTTTGAAGAAGATATATTGGAAGTCAAGCCAGTAAGTAAAATTATAAATCAATCTTTCTAAATTATTAAAGAAGTTTTGAATTGTAGGCCATTTCGAGCTCTGAAACGCACTCTTGCAAAGTCCTTTTAGAAGATGTTACCAAGTACTTTCCTCAACTTAAAGGGAACAACACGGTGAAATTATCTCGCAGCGCATTTAAAGCAGGGCCTAAATGTAAAAAATTGGAAAAGTCCATAAAGTCAACTTCCATTACAAGCAAATACAAAACAAAAGGGATACGCCGAGGTAGCCACATTTCTTTAAAAAACGATATCAATGAAAAGGAGCAGAAAAGAAAGACGTTCCGCCTGTCAAAAATATCCCAGAAAGAGCTCAAGGAACGTCTTAAAATGGCAAAAAAACAAGAGAAAAGTTGGCAATGTTTGCATTGCATTAAAATCTATTACATGCGCAAGCCCTATGAAAAACATTTACGGGATGACCACAAACGATCTGAGGAAGAAATACGAGAAATATTTAAATCTGAAGATTCAGGCTTATGCAATGAGGATGTCTTCAAGTGCCATATATGCGATAAAATTTATTTAATGGAGAAGCGTTTAGTCGATCACATTGAAAAGCATGGCGCCGATGGTAATTTAATACACAAATGCCCCTGCTTTTGTAGTTTGTACTTTGCAACCCGTGAAGAAGCTATTAAACATGCGCACGAGGTTCATAAGGATTTATTGTGGTGTGGGATTTGTCAAAAATTTATGACCGGTTGTGATGCTTTAAAATCTCATAACGCTCGCGTACACGGCCAGACCACAAAGGAAGCTCAAATCAACAGTAAAAGAAATTTTGTATGCGATAAATGTGGGAGAAAATTTTTAGGTCGCACTCAGCTAACGGATCACGTACGTTCGGATTGCGGCCGTCTACCAATATATCAGTGTCAAGAATGCGGTAAATGTCTTACCACAGCTGGGATTTTAAAAACCCATATGTTGCTACATAAAGCAGATCGGCCGTATCAGTGCGATCAATGTGGCAAAACGTTTAAAATAAAGGCCCAATATAAGGCGCACCTTAAATACCGACATTCGAATGAAAAGCACTTCAAGTGTCACGTAGGTTGATTTTCCTCACAAAATAGGGAAGAGTAATTGTTTGGCATTTTTCATCTTTTTATAGCTTTGCCCTAAAGCGTATCCTTACCGTGAAAGTTTGCTAACTCATATGACGGTGCATACGGGGATTAAACGTTTTCTCTGCAACGGTTGTGGAAAGCGCTTTACTTGTGTGTCGAATTTGCAAGCGCACCGCAAGGTTCAAGCAGACACCTGCGGCCTGTTACCATTAAATGCAAAGGCTACTCAATACATGGGCGTCCAAAAGGGTAATTTGCTAATGGGAGCGAAACCGGAAGCTGGCCTAGATTACATAGAAACTAATACTTTAGTCGCGAAAGATGTGCTAAATCAAGATCAACCAATGGCTCAGGAACTAAATAATGGACCATCGGATAGTTCCTTACCGTTGGCGACGGCTCCTTTACATTATGCTCATTCAGCCCCACCAGCATTAATAATGCCCACTTTAATAATCCAGGATTCTCATCAGTCGTGGAGCAACTACAACTAGAGAAGAGAGTACGGTTTGTCATACATTTTTATGATAAATCGTAATAACTATATATTGTAACAAGAATGAAATTCAAATCAGAGTATCTTTTATTCACAACCCTTGGTTGGAAAAAAATATTGAAGCATTTGAATAGTAATATGTGTATTTAAAGTTCGCCCTAAGACCCCTTAAAACCCCTTTTTTTATATATTTTGCAATTCAAATTACTTGCACCTCCTTCAAATTAATTTTCTTTTCCCAAATATATTATTAACAATTCGCCATAATTATTTTTGGTTAGGTATTTAAATATAAATATTCTAGTATTATAATTTCGCTAAAAATGTAACATTCTTAGACTTTTTCGACTTAAATAAAAAAGACAAATTCAATGCCTATTTTTGTCCGTGGTAAAGACCAAGAGAAATGTGTATTGTTTCCGATACTTCGTTAAAGCAACTCCAACAAGTTATCTTTTCGTTCACACTAATTTATTTTTTAATGTGTAATGGGTCGTTCGTCCTCATTACTTCGCCAAGTAGTCTTTCCAGGAAAGGCACTAACTGGATAGTGATCGAAATGTTGTCAAACCAAACTGTTAAAATTTTGAAATGACTTGGATGATTACATAAAACATACACCCTTATTTTCAACGCATAGAAATTTAACAATTTTCATCATTTGTGAAGCCTGCATACGAACAAATAGACATAATACACAACCACAGATAAAATAAATTCACGCTGACCTACAATAAGGTTTATGTGACCCACAAATATTTCATATCTATTTTTCAGTTTCTATTTTTGTTTTTTTTTATTTGTGGCCTACTATGTTAATGATTTGTTGTAAAAAAATGAGAATTCCTAAAATTCGAATTGAAACTGAAAAAATAAACGTATTTTAAAATTCAAAAAGAGTGTTTTATTCGCAAGTATCAATGCTCATATCGGCTCATGTGCTTTTATATTTTGCCATCATTCATAGATATCATTCATATGGAGAAAAATAAATAAATAATGTACATTCAAGTAAAACTTATTAAGATGCAAGAGATGTAGATTACGTTCTTTTCACAAAATTCTGGAGCATCGCCGCAGAGTTGTACATAACTCGGCTTAAGTTTCAGACTACACAGTTAAGCAGAGTATATTGATTTGTCCTCGAACAGGGGGCAATGTTCATAATACACTTGTAGCGAAAGCAATACTAAGGCGATGGTTTTAACTTCCTTTTCAGCCCTCGTGAATGCTTAGCTAAATCTATTAATTTATCTATGCGTTGGAGAATTTTGGCGAGTGCACATTTCATATTAAGCCTCGAACCCATCCGTAACGGCATTCTTTGTATTAGAAGAAATTACTTTTAGTCGCTTGTTTCCTCTTCCCACCCAAAAAAAATAAAATTAATATTCCGATTATTGAAACTGTCTCATTGTTTCTATTGTATTTCAGTTGCAAGTTTATTTGATGTATTTTCCGAATATGATTTTCTGCTTTTTGCTAATCCAAAGGACACGATTCGCCTCGGGAAAGCTTTCCAATTTTATTATAAAAAAAAAAAAATTTATACATATGTAATAATAAAAATAAAAACAAATTGAAGAAACGAAGCCAACCAACTGTTACTAGTAATCGTCGCCGCGAGAGACAATCTCCTTACAGGTTGGACGCAGCATAATTGTGTGTTCGTACTGGGCCGTATAACAGCCTTTGATGTCACACAGGGGAGGATAGGCCTCCACTACGCCTTTATCGCACAAATCTTTTAGAGCCATTTGATATTTAGTAGCTCCAGCACGATCTAACCAGCGTTTACAAAATGCTAAAGTACTGAAATGCTTATTTATAGTTGCTAACAACTGCTTGGAAGATTGCAAACGTAACGGTACAAAAGGAGCATCATATACTTTCATATAATGCGAGCAATCCATATCGTCATGGACTAAACCTCGACCGGTAGAGCCAAATGTTTCTATAGCATAAAATTCATTTTCTTCCATGCGAGTGGACTCGCCGCCCTTAACAATCGGCACAGTTTTGCCAGAATGAATGCCTAGAGGAACAAACAATTAGCCTAAGTAATCTAAATTTCTTTTTAAACTTACGGTAAGGGCCTATGGAATGTCCGTTCAAATTCCTTATAGCTTTCACTTGATAAGTCTTGCCATCCAATTCTACTTCATACGATTCCATGACTTCTTGTATGGCCGCACCAATATCGCAAAAGCGTACATCAATTCCCGCTTCTCTAATGCCGGTATTGGTAGCATCCTTTACCGCCTCCAACAACTTATCGTATTTATTGTTAAAGGTCAAAGTGAACGCACAATCTATAATTCGACCCTTGATGTGGGTACCAAAATCGATTTTGCACACATCATCATACTGCAAAACAGTCGTATCACCAGCGTTCGGTGTATAATGTGCTGCACAATGATTCAAGGAACAGCCAGTCGGAAAGGCCAAGCCGGCTTCCAAACCATTCTCACCAATCAGACGACGTGCAGTATTTTCTAATTCTTCGCATATTTGAATCATAGTCATTCCAGGCTTTATAAATTGTTGCATATACTGACGTGTCTGACGATGAGCTTCAGCTCCATGACGTAGCTCTTGATAGATATCAGTATGCATACGATCCAGAGTGCGCTTTTCTTCCGAACTAAAACGGTCTTTAGCTTTGCGGTCATCAGCCAAATCTTTGGGTATTGGATGGGTCATAATTTCGCCTTCTGGGAAATTACCATCCGGGAACAGTTCACTTACCGGTATCGAAGGAGGTTCGGTTTGAACTTTCTTAGCGCTTTTCGATTTATTTTTATTTTTCTTTTTTTGATTAATTGATTTTTTTTCAGTTTCTACAGAACCATTCACTATTGATTCTTCCATTCCCACAGCCACTTCCACTCTATTTTCATCTTCAGCTACCATTGCCTTTTTTGCAGCAGCTTCAGCTATGAAGATAAATCACTAAAATATGTTTTGATTAGTTTTAGTTCATTCAATAATCACCTTGACGCAATTTCTTATTATTGGGCTTGGGCTTTTTTTGCTTTTTGGTGTCTGCAGCGTTCACCGAAGTTGCTTCAGGAATCTTCGCTTCTGGATTCTCCATATCTATAGAATTCTCACTTTCACTAAATTTCGTTTTTACAATACCCGACATTCTAATATTTCAGGCAGTTTAGAAGATCTTTAATGAAATTTTAATAACTCAAAGACCTATAAATTTTCACTAAAAAATGTGAAAAATCTGACTGAATTCTGTTAAAAAAAAAAGCACGAGTTGAAAGGCAATGTCATTATAGAGTTGTCATGTTTAATTAAATAAAATACGAAACATGGGGATGCCCAAAAATTTGAATATACAATTCCTATTGTGCCTTTAGAGAATAGGCGTATATATGTTCTCAATAATTTGTAAAAATTACAACAATGTGAGAATAGGCGTATATATTTGTTTACACTTCTCAATAATTGAACATCTATTTGTATAATCTATGGTGCCTTTAAAGAATAAGCGTATAAAGTATGGTGCCTTTAGAGAATAAGCGTATGAAATTTGAAAATATAGCAGATATCAATTTATTTGACTTGGACATTTTTCTAAGTTTGGGCGAGTCTTTCCCTGGTACGTGCAGGGGGGAGAGAGCCTTTGAAGCAAGCTATTATTGGGTTGTCCGGACTAGATTGACAGCAAAGTCAGCTACTATGTCATCTATAGTTGGGTCATCTGGTCCCCATATTGGTTCAGAAGAATACGTAATTTTTTTATGGAAAATTTCACCTATATACTAGGCGCAATAGGGCTTCATTTATAAAATTTTCCATTTTTTTTACTCTTCAGAAAGGAAGAACTAACAATCGAACAAGTTATTTTTCGTTATTAACTTGACCTCTTATTGGTATTAAACTTGGGACTCAAAATATCGATTTTGTCTCTTGCTATCTCTTGAGAGTTTCAAGGCGATCGAAGTGAATTTTCTCTGTAAGAAACGTTAAGTGCAAATGAATAAATAAAAAGATTATTGTTTCATATTTATGGTCGTCATATATATTAGTTTAAACGATAATACGGTTTTTGAAATTTGCCTATCGGCATTCGCTGACGTTGCCTTAAACGTCGCACAGCTTCACGAAGATATTTTGGTTGTAAAGCGCCAGCATCGCCCATCTCCTCCATAACGTCTAAAGCTAAATAAAATTGCCAATGAATTAAAGTCGTTTGGTGCTTTTTTTACAAACCTTCTTCCACAACTTCTCCCACGAAAACTTTAGCAATTCCCGACATCGCTATGACAACATTTTGTGACACCGAACAGCCAGTTATTGTCTGCATTAGACGTTTAACTGCGGCTTTGGGAAACGCGGAACGTCTGTACATTTCATACCGATCCAGTTGCTCTTCAGTAAAGTTGGACACCAAAACTCTGTAAAATATATTATGGTTAGGAGCAAAAAGTGTATTTTTAATGTCTCCTACTGCATTTTTTCTCTTTCTTCCTCTTCCATCTCTTTTTTGGTTTTAAGCTTTTTCCCGGGCGGCTCTTCACTTTCAGGTTTGCTTTCAGGTTTTTTACTTTTTACATCATCTTTGATTTCCTCTAAGTCACTTTTGGATTCTTCCAGTTCTCTATCTTTGTCTGAATCTTCTTGAAGTTTACTGCTGTTGCTATTATTTGCGTCATTTATATCAAAAAAATTGTAATCCACATCATCTGATTTTTGTGTTGGAAATAATATATCGTCCATTTCCTAGATATTTTTTGGTGCAATTGTCTTTATTTGATTGTTTGTGTTCTGTGCTTTGTAAGTTTTGTTTAGAATTTTTAATTCTCTCACGTTCCTTGTCTATCTCTTCTTCTCTTTATTATTTTGGTTGCAAGCTATACTTTTGGTTGTTTTTGTTAAAAATAGGAAAATAAACGTAAACAAAACATTGATGAACAAATATTGCCACCTGAACAACTAATTGTCTTTAAGATTTATATTGGCGTGTAAATAACAAATTGTCACTAAATATGATATGAAATTAAACATTGTTAAACGTTGACAAGAAGAGCAATAACGTGAAATATCGTTCCTTTTCATAAATTAATATGGACGAGTAAAATATACAAGTAAATGGCGAGGATCGATTGTAATTTAATATGTTGCACGACAGTTATTGGATCATAAGAAGAAGTAAGGACGTTTACACATCGAGTAATACCGCCATTCACTCATTGTAATGATAATACATTAAAAGTTACACATTATTTTCATGCAGAGACCTACTTTTCATTGGTATCCAAAAAATAGACCTACGTGATCCCAGTTTAATAAGGTTGATTTCTTTGTCAATTTATTATTATGAAAGAATTTTCATCACGAAATATTAAAAATGTATCCTCTTTTCTGTATAAAGATTTAGGTTTCGTAGGGGCGGTTATATGGGCGAGGGTTCAAAAAATTGCCTCAGCCGAATGAAATTTGATACACCAGCTTAGAATGTGAAAATACTATTACAGGCGTATATTTGTCGAGAAATTTTAAAGATTGCAAATTTTGTTCCACACAACGACTTTAAAATAGAGCGTTATACGGGGAGTGTTCGAAAAAGTGTACCGATCCAAACAATTTTCAAGAGCGTTCGTCCTTGGACCAAAGCATGTCGGTGTATAGAATTTGATCGAAATATTTATAAAATTGCGGCCTGGAGCTTGAACACAAATTGACGTGGAAAGACAGCGGACGGATAGGCAGGCGTGGTGGGTCTATCTTAAGTCCTTCTGCGTGTTATATTCGTACGTACGAACACCACAAGTGATGTAGAGTATTAAAATGCGTACTTTTTCGGCAGTTAAAAACTCTCTGCTCCTTACTGCGAGCCTATAATCTACCGTTGCCGGATTTATTCAGTCCATCTTACTCGATGTCGACAACCATTAATAGGCTTGGATTGAAAGTGTATGCAATTATATAGAAATGATGAGAAACGATCAGTTAAAACCCTTTCTGTCTGAATCAAGGAAACACTGAACAATATGATCTTCTCAGCTAAAAGAGATCATTTGTAAAATATATTACGATGTCCAACAAATTTTTAAACAGAAAATATATTTTTTAAGCAAGGCTTTTTATTATTCATATTTCACTGAGTATCATTTAAAATAACCTAACTTCTCAATCTCGTTAACCATTGCAACTAATGAGTCCATAATTTCTTCCCCGTTTGGTTTAATTTGCGAAGCGGGCAAATTAAATCCAACTATACCAGCATTTGGTCCAGGTCGCAATTCAAAACAGAAAGACATTTTAGTATCCATATTGGCATAGGCCCAATCAATACTAGCACCCGAAGCTGGGTAAATAGCGTCGTAAATATTTCCACCAGTATACGTTGTACCATAGCGTTTGCTGACAGCATTTACCGTCACATCGAATACCTGTTTCAAATCCTCATGATTCTCCGGTAAATCGGCTGTATGGCCATAAGGATACAAGAGCAATTGTGAGAAGGCGTGGAAGGAAATGTACAAAGATATTTTTCCTTTTAGGCTCTGAATGTATTCGGAGAAGGTACGTGTTTCCACTTCAGAGAAAGCCGACGGACCAGCATAAGTATCAGAGCATGGTTTATTACTAGATCCCACAGTGTTCCAGTGGAAGCCCCAGTTGCGATTGGGGTCTGCTCCAAAACAGCCATTTTCATAAGGCGTGCGTGTCTTACGCCACATACGGTCCGTGGTGTGCGTGTACACAAAACCATCAGGATTTGTATGAGGGAACACATACCAATCATAATTGTCAGCCATTTGTTTAATGGCCTCGACATCGGAGGTCAATAGTTCGTTGATTAAATAAGTGGCAGTGGCGGCAGAAATCCATTCACGCGCGTGGATGCCAGCTTCAACAAATATGCCCGGCTTCGGAGATTGACCTTTAGAGATTTTTACACCCAAAATTGAACGACCTTCATAGGTTTTGCCACTTTCGACAATAGTAACCACGCTTGGGTATTCATTGGCCAACGATTGAAGCCATTTATAAGTGTCTTCTAATTCATGATATTGTGTCCAGCCGTAGGCACCCGAACGTACCTTCGCTACTTGCTTATAGGAGTCTTCTAACTGATGTTGCAAGTTTGTGTCAACGAGGTCGTATTGAATTTCCCAGCGGCCCATGACGTGCAAAAAGTCAGGTACTTTATGAGGTGCTACTACTACGCTTATAGCTTTGTTAAGCAAGTGAACACCGTCTATGAATATTATCGAATCGCTGGTCGATTCTAAGTCTTTTAAAATTTTCAACTTCTCTTCGTTAGAAGCAACAACTTTATACACGCGATAATTATCATAACGAGCTCGTTCGCCTCGACAGGCTACAGCTATCAAGCAGAGAGCAAAAATGACAGTGAATTTGGAAAACATTTCTTCACTTCGATTCCAAATGACTGAATGTTGCGTTTACGCGATATCTCAATGTTTTATAGGTTATCATTATCAATTCGACAGCCCGGGGAGTTTAAACGCTGGGTTGATTAAACGTTTTGCAATTGATATCGAACGATAATCAACTAATTAAAATTGTGATTTTTCCAAGACGTGCGGGCAAGAATTGTAAATCTAATTTTGTTAAGCCAACTATTTACATAGAAATTAACGATCGTGTGAATGACAAATAAATTGTGAAATATTATCACTTTTAATGCACAACCCCCCTCCATCACGATCGAAATTTAAAAGGTAAAAAGGGAATAAAACTTCGTCAGCCCAATGCGTGCTGTATACAAAAAAATGCAAAAATAAAAAACTCTTTTCGTAGATTGAATACGCAGACCGGTGATGGCGCTAAATATTTTTGAATATTTTCAAATTCAAATCACTTTATATTTCAAGTTAATGAAAGAGAGAATTGTGAAATTTTCAATGCGCGTATTTATATATTTCCAACCTATTGTGGGCGTTCCCGGTTAAGAATCCTATTAATCCTCATAAGTTTCGCAAATTGCTTTTGATATTATCGCCAAATCTGAGTTTCAATACGATATCATCATCAATGAAGAAAAGAGTTTGAATAATATTTCATTTTGAATTTTTGAAAATTGTTCCAAAATTCACTTATGGTGCAATGATTCCGATGACTACAACAAACTTTGTCTGCTGCCACGATATGAACAGGTGGATGTAGCGCGAAGTGCCATAATAAATAATGAAAGAAATGTGTGAAAATGCTAGTTATATGGGACTAATCTAATCGTAATAAGTACTCGATAGGAAAACGGGTCACATATTTCAATTGTCATTTCTCTATTGGAAGAATTATACGTCATAATAACTAATTGCTGTTACATTCTCAAGACGAAATTCTTTGAAATAGTGTGGAATGAAAAACCCATCAGTGAAGAGAGAAAGTGTTCAATAATAATATCGTTTTATGTACTTAAAATTATATAAAAACAAAAACTAAAAAATTAAATGTAATTAATAAATAATAAACAAAAAGAACTATGCATGACTTAGAAAAAAAAAAAAAAAACAACGCAATAATTAAACGCTATTTGTGCTATCAATCATGAACGTAATATTCTTTGATTTATGGTTAACGTATAAAATGCAACTAAATCTTATCCGCAAGGTTTGCATAGCAATGATAGTAAATATTTAATTAATCGTAGTGTTTATAGGCTTTTGAAAACGTGCAGCTAGTAAACAGATCAAAGTGGATGTATGTAGCTACTCTGAAGTTTCAAGATTTTTTTTTGAAATATTAATAATTAATGGACTGAAGCCTTTATATAGTGAGGCCTATATGAGGTGTGTTCAAAATAAAAGGCGATTTTTTAATTTTCTTTATGTATTCATTTCTCAATATCTATTTTGTCCCCTTCAAAGCAATTCCCCTTAGGTGTAATACATTTGTGCCAGCGCTTCAATTCTCGAAGCATCTCTGTAAGAGCTTTTTGATATGGCTTTGAGCTTAATCATGGCAAAATCCCGTCCTTTCATGGGTTTTTCACATGCGGGAACAGAAAGTCGTATTTTTTTTTGGCAATCACGCACAATGGCGCACATTGCACGGCATGAACAAACCGACCGACAGAACGATACCGACATACTCAGCAATGTCTCCAATAGTTATTCGACAATTCTCCATAACAATTTCCTTCACTGCTTCAACATTTTCACCTTTTGTCGACGTGCTGGGGAGTCACATTTTAAGTGAGTTTTGAGCACTTCGTTTAATTTTTGACGGGAAATTTAATACAGATTTTTTGATCCATTCTTATCGATAGCAAAAAATCGCCGTGTACGTCAAAATATGCCTCACCTTGCTATCTATCAAAACCGCAAAATAGCTGATAATCTCAACACGTGTTGAAAATTTCAAAAGTCTTTCCCTTCTCTTGAACATAACTCGTCTGTTCAGTGTATTAATGGCTTGTGTAATGTATAAAAAGTAGTGTAAAAAAGAATTTGAATTTAAGAAATGAAAAAAATATAATATTATTATTATTATTACCATTAATTCAGCCAAGGAAGTAAATTATAAAACTAAAGTCTTAAAACAAAAGCGTCTAACGCTGTCGGTTTTATCGAAAAGTTTACCGCACTTGAGATTTGAGCCCACGACCACTGAGATATTCAACACAGCGAAAATAATTTTCAATTTCTTCAATTTGTAACCCGGGATCCTTTGCCTACTCGGCCACTCAGGCGAATAAAAAACAAAGAGAAAATGAAATAAAATTATTTATTTATTTATTTATATAATTGAAGATCTTAACAGGCTAAAACCACATTTTTTAAACTAGCAATAATTATATCTTAACTGTTAGTTAATATTTATATTAATAAAAGTTAATATAAATGAAAATTAATTCAATGTTTTTTTTTTTTTTTTGATATTTTAACTCGATTGTAAGGCAAATGAGTTAGAAAATCTTAAAAATCTTACGATGGATGCATCGCCAGCACTTTAGTCGATTCGTTTAACAATTACTTAGCAAGATCTTTGATCTAAGAACTTAATTTTGGTACTTGGTAAAGCAGACGTCAAATACAAAGTTACCTCAGTTTTCAATAAAAATCTGTCTTCTGAACACTTTCCATTTAAAGGCTATAAGAGATGCTCGCACGTATTTCATCGCTAGCAACATCTGGTGATGGAATTAATAAGGTAAAGCGACGTCATGATCTACATAACGACTAAATTCGATGGTTTTGAACTGTCTCTACATAAAATAACGGTTTCCTATTTGATATCATTGAGTTGTTCAGTGTCCATAACCGCCAATCGTTGAACGCCCGGTCCTTGTATTTGCTTTCGTTGCTTGCAGAACAAAAAAATAAGAGTTTTCTGTGGCGTTTGAAAAGTGCATCTATTATGACAATTCTAAGCGCGAAAAGTAATGGGATAGCCTAGAATAGCCGCACACATCGCCACTAAAGCGGAATGTTCATTGTCATACAGTTTTGCTGTTCATAACGTGGAATTAGCAAGGCGTGGCGTATCACGAGCTACAGAAATCAGTTGAACTCCTTTGAACGATATATTGTTGCGATAGCGATCAATAGATGCAAAGTCATTCTCTTGCATGACAAGGTTCCACGTTGCAAGACTTGTCAAGGATAGACTGTTGCAGCTCGAAATAGAAATCCTGCCGCAACCGGCACACTCACCAGACATGGCGTGTTCTGATTATCACTTGTTCACATCAAAACAGCGTGGCTTGGCTGGCACGCGAAATGCTAAGGAAGTCGTGAAAATTGGTCGGTGATTGAATCGCTGCCAAATCAATATCGTTCTTTCGACACGGTATCGCCATGTTGCCAGAAGGATGGGAAAAAGCTGAAGAGATTGATTGAAATCTATTTTGTATAACATATATTGCTTCAATCTCTTTTAATAGAGCAGTCTTTCAAATGAAAAAATGGCCAAAATACATTCAAAGATCTAATATAAAGAACGATTAAAATCAAGCTTATGAATTATTTCGTATCAAAAATTTTCCGTGTTCGTGTTATAAACAGTCCGTGTAATAAAGCGAAAAATTGATTAGCTTTTAAAATATTACAATTGAAAATAAACGCAATCATTGACTTTTTATAACAGCTGATAAGGGGTACGCTATACAGCTCTAACCATCATCAACCAAAACCGCTGGAAAATTTTGAATGGATGCCAATATGCATTTAATTCGTTTTATTCTATTCTGCTTGCCGACATGATCTTGGCGTTTCTCATATATTACAGGCTATCTATCAATGAAGAATAAAGCAGCATTTATGCGGAATACAAGGCGACCCAAAACACGTGTATCTTCGCTGTTGCGAAGAAAAATTGAAGGAAAATCTTTTTTTGTGCAGATTTCAAGTGCAATAATTTATAAAAGAATTTTTAACAGTCATAAAATGTGTCTTAGCAAAGACATGAACCGGAGATTATTGATATGAAGTTCGGCTGCAAAGGCAAACGTTTGAAATAGACAGGGTAAGCAAATTTATTTGTTTGCTTGCTTTAACTGCATTAAGATCCCACTTTTTTTTTTTTTTTTGTTTTCTTAAAAAAACTATTGAATCTCTTTTCCGAAATGAGTGGACAAAATGTGAAGTTGCGATCTCAGTACCTCGGCTTATCATTTAATTTACAAATCAGCGAAACGATTATTGAAATAATTAAATATTGGACGTAATGTAAAGTAATAAATAAACTCAAAAGCAGAAACAATGCTTATTCCTGTAATCAAACCCAATATGCCGCCAAAGTTAGCTAAATTTGAAGGAATTAAAAAAGAGAAGGATTTATATTAATATTGCCTTCGGATTTGTTTTCAAACAGACCACCACCACACTCACCTAAATCCGATAACTCTGTTGTGTAGATTTCTCGTCGATAACGTGTCGCCACTAAATCACCGAAGAAAGCATGCAATAAAATGTTATCATTTTTATAGGTGACCGGTCTATACAGTCCATGGAAATGTAATTCGAAATTTTATTAATTAAGAAAGAGAAGCGTTTAATTTTCGTAACGTACTTTTTATTGCTTGCATTAACGGATAATTTCAAGTTCAATTTGCCTGACGATAGTTCAGATGTGTAATGATTGGATTCGCAATCGGGCCGACAATTGCAAGGAAAATTTGTCGTACTCGGACTTTGGATACGTAGCAAAGTCTTGTTGAAATCATTAAACACTTTATTGAAAATTTCTAAAATGTTGTTTTTGTTGTATTGTAAATAATTATTTTTGACTTTCTTTAAAGGGGCAATACATATGATAGACCATTACCATTATTTTCCATTAGACAATGATGTTCTCTTACGCTACATTCTGTTTTATTCTCATCTTTGAATAAATTTTCTGTTACTAATACGCAGTTGCATTTCTTCTGAGCATAGTTAATGCGGCATTCAGCCAGGCAATTAACGAAGGAATAGCGTTGCATGATGCGAAGTGTACGCTCGTTGGTGAACAAGCAATTTCTTAAATTTACATCCATCTCCCGTACACTTTCAGTGGCATAAGTGGATTCTGGACTAATTCGAATGAAACCCTCTGTAGATGATGTCACTAATTTCGTTTCGGCATTTTCATCAGGCATGTTGTACGGATCATGTATTACTAAACTGAAGCCATAAACGCTAAAGCCGCTGGCAATATAATCATCAACCATAGGATCAAGCAATAAAGTGAGGCCAGTCGTATAACCGCATCCAGTTACTCGATAGGGATGCTTAGGAATTTGATAGTGAATTTTTCTAAGAGATCTTTTTTAATAATATTTTTGATTATATAATAATTTATGTTAAGTTTTTAGCTTACACCGGAAAGTTGTTTTTGTATTCGCCATAGTAATTAAAGGAGCAACATTGTCCTTTCAGTGTAGGGATCCTTTGAAATAAATTATCACATCTTTGCTCAGATCCTTTCCACACACATTTCATCATCATTTCCAAGCAATTGGGCATTAGCTTCTCTCTTAAATCTCCCAAAGTCCAATTATTCAATTTTAATACTTTTTCCATTAATTCAATATTTAAATGAAAATCGCTGCGAGATGTTTTATAATGCACCATCATTTGAAATGAATTTAAAATTTGAGGCTCTGTAATATTTGGGGGCCTTCTCCTAGAAGAAAGAGAAAAAAAATGCAAAAACTCGGCATTCACAAACTATTTTCGAATTCTCATCCTCTAGAGTCCAAGACACTTCCTAATTACTTTAATTATTTCTTTGGAAATGCGAAAACGACTCTTAATACAACTAACGACGACTGGTCAAGTAAACAAAGCTTAGTGGGTTTTATTATTAGCAATGTCACAGCAAGTGGATCTGTTTTCAAATGTTGTTAGACTCTAGATGGTGATAACTCGATTGATTTAACGTGAAGGGCTCTGCTTTTATAAAATCAAGTCCTTACATTATCTTAAGCAATTGAAGAGCTTTCCGTTTTGATATTTTATTGAAATTACATAATGTTATCGCCGGAAACGGCACCTGCCAAATGGGATAATGTGAACTGTCAATTACAGTAACAGTTGGAATGTTAAAATTCCAAAAGTATGTGGCCAACACCAAAGCCACGCAAGTTACTATCGCCGTAAAGATCGCAATTATCCAAAACATTCGCTCAGTTTTTGTTAAATCGGTACGAGCTATATAGCTGAAGCCATGCAGTGAAGTGGATTGGCAAAAATTCTTTAAATTTTTTCTAAAATATTTACGCACATTTTTTAACCTGAACATTTTCGCTAATACGATTAATAATATGTTTGTAGTAGCGCCTTAAAACTTTTCTCCTTTACAAGGCTTATCTATCTGTCGCTTTTATGAAAGATTAGTTTCACCCGAAAATAGACCTGTTAATAAGAACGAACGTGAAGACAATCTAATTAAAGGGCAGTTAAATTAATCAATAAAAATGAATACCCCCTCCTACCATACGCGCGAGATGTAGAGAAGTAATTAAAAAATAAAATCCATATCGTAAACATGAAAGTTTGTTTGCGGTAATGTTTGCCCAAGTTTCAGCCGAGGCGTGCATTTAACTTTCTTACTTCCCAATAAAATTAACTTTGATTTTTCTCTTTCCTGGTTAATTAATTGTTTGCCCTACAACCCTAACCTTATTATTAACGAATAATTGCATGCTTAAGTGGAGACATTTTTAATATAATGTTTAATGTAAAGCCGAGTTACGAGACTTAAGTTTTTGCTGAGCTGACTAGATGTATTTTTATTCGTTTTTATTTAACTTGCTTTCCTATGAATGTTTCTTCCACTTCCAGTTAATAATTTGAAGACTTCTTTACATCCGATGACGTTGAAATTTTGCCGCACCTTTAGTTACAATGGCAACGCCAGGTGGTAAAGGTGATCAAATATATTCAAAACGTTGGGCGCTATGAGGTGGTGGATTATCTTTTACTTCACAATCCTCTTCATACGGCTATCAAATATAACGATTCGGATATTAGAATGGATTGTGCAAAGCTATCCGAGGGGCAGCCTTGTAATAATGAAGGACCCGTGGAAATCATCAGAATATTAGAATTAGTAAGATATATTAAAAATTAAAAATTGTTAATGTAATAGAAGTGAAAACAAAGGGACATTAAAATACTCTACACAACTTCGCTCTATACGCCAAACTTTACTTTCATGCGAAGGCATGCAAAACATCAATTGACGAGATCCAAATTTTGATTCAAAAAATTGCCCCATCCGATCCAAATTTTGTAGTGTCAATTTACATTTGCTAAATACAATTACTTAGCCCTTTTTATAACACCAAAAAGACGGTGAGATGGACAGACGAACAGACAGACTAGCTTATTGCGATCAGTACACTAAAAATCCTCCTTGGTGTTAGATAAATTCGCAAAAATTTAATACCCTTGGCTCCAGCAGTGGTGTAGGATATAAAGTTTTTTTTTAATTATATATGGAAATTTCTTACTCATTAAAATGTCAAGCGCCCTGATTTGTTTTGTGAAAATCACTGTGATAAAATTCGAATTTAGTTCACTTAGTAAGACCTTAAAAAATTGATTTTTTCATACAATTTATTTATTAATTTGATGTGCTCTTTTTATACATTTCGTGTACAGTGCATAGCCGGACAACTACCTTGCCCTCCACTCCGAAAATCTTGTGTTCTTTCCTAAAATTGTTTATTGTTCGCTGGGGCTGGGAATTAATTGTTTTTTTTTTTTGCCGAAATTTAGATGCTAGAAGAGCAAGGCACATAAGACATCTGTACTCTGTGTAAAAAATAGCCAGAATGAGCAGAATTACTGTCCAACCGATTAAATTTCAATGAAAGTACACCTTAGAGGAGAACAAACGCAATTTTTAATCAGATTTCTAAAATAAATCACTTTCCTTCAATTATATGCACGTTCAGCCAACACGTCGCAAGATAGTTATTTACAAAATTGCTAATCTTCTTATATGATAGAGATGGGCAACTCTTTTCATCAACGGGCCGATTTTAGTTTTCTTCTCACAGCGACGACCCGCTGCAGGTTGAATGGATGAAGAAAAAACTAAAAATGAAACCTTATAATGAACTTTGTCATTAAACATATCTTGCAAATTTCAGTGTGAAAGACTAATTTGTTATTAGATTAGAATAAGGACGTAGTTCGCTAATAGCTATTCGAAGAATTGCTTTTAAATATTCATCTGTATACTTTACCTTGTATCTTTGTACCTACTTCAAGGTCGAATTATATTATTATTGAAAATTGGACATTCTACATCGATTTTCCTTCGCTTTAAATTGCTCCTTTTATATGGTTAAGCAGAAAATACCTAAATGCATTTCATGTTTGAAAGCCGTACGGCTGCACCGATAGTGAAGTAAGTGCGAGCAAATTGAATTATTTGAATTTTTAAACGTGGCGGGCCGGAGGTTAGCTGTATCCGATATATGTGCATGGAATTTTGACTTAAACTTTTGGTAGTCTGAACAATATTGAGCCTCACTACATCCAAAATGAAGTGAAAGCTTATTCGTCCACTGGACTGAGCTATTTTTTGAAGAAACTGTCAACACAGCAAGAGCTACTGAATAACCGGAAAAGCATAAAAGAAAAAATTCTTTGCTTCATCGAACACGCGCGCTGGGTTTAAACCGCAATGTATGCGTGTGTGTGCGTGTGACTGAGGTTAACTGCCTGGATGAATAATTTTTGTACATATAAATAAACGCATATGCACACTATCACACATTACATCGATACGTCAGTACGTCAGCACGTTATCTGTGTTTATATCACTAAAGGTATCTTTCTTTAAAGCCATTGATTTCTCTTGCGGCGCATGCAAAAAAATATAACTGAAACCGTCAATTATATAATTATATAATTGACTTCGGTTTCACTTTCCTTACGGTTTTGCTATTGCTGCATGTTAATTGACGTCATTTGAAATATATTTCATTTTTCGGTAAGCAGATAAACGTAGAGTTCAATGTATTACGATTTCATATTTTAATTTCAAAAAAAAATATTTAAGTTATGTATAGACGCATATATATTTGCGAATCCAAGGCAACCTTTCTAATCATTAATAGAAAGAAAGATTTGTTTATATCAATAATTAAATTTGATTCGTATCCTATTCTCATGCTTTTGAAGAATTTTCTGTCCAAAAATATATTTAATATATAAAAAATTTTTTTTAAAAAAAGGAATTAAGTACATGCTTAGTCCTAATCGCACCATGGTGAACCTTTGAGGTTCATTTCAACCTTGACCTTAAATGTTTTGATTATTTCGTATTTTCGCATTTCTAAAAAATGCGCAATCCCAATGCATTATGCGATCAGTTTCCGTCATAATTGTACTAACAATAATTTGTTTGTATGCGCTAAAACCAATAGCTTAGGACAATGCGAATAATTTTTGCTTATTTATATCTTAACCACGTAATTAAAGCAAATAAATGCAGTTCTCCGCCCCCCACCCCCCCCTTCACCAATCGCTCTTATTTTTATTTCTATTTTTATTTATTTTTTTTCATACTTGTATGCATTTTAATGACGTTTTACGATGCGACTTAAGTGTCTTTGTCATCATTGTGCATGTGCCTGGATTGATTTCCAATATCTTATGAGCGAGACGGCAAGACAAAAAAAAAGTGAACACAAAGTAAAACGAGTGCTTGTGTTGCTCGTGTGGCGCCATTAAGAAAACTCCTTTTGTTTTGCCATGAACTTAATGGATGTAAACAGACGATCGGACGGATTACGCCGGCCAATGCAATGAAACGTGCAGCATTACGGCAACCATTGATTTTATACGTGCCAACGCCTGCAAGTGTTTTGCATTTGAATTCTCAATCTATTAAAAATAAAACGTTATAATAATATTAATGATAAAAATAACATAAAAAAATAAATAATGCTAAAAGAAAAAGAAATATATACATATTAATAATAAAAAAGTAAATGAAAAAATCTATAAAAGTCCCTAAAGCATAGTCCGATTCAACGAAAAATATGTGACAGGGAAACGGTGAGAGACCTAAGGCAGCTTTTATGCCGTAGAAATCTCTTTTAATGAAGTACGTGTTACTATGCTCGCTGCAAATTAATGTAAGCAAAAGTAAGCAAATTTTCGCAGACAGATGTATATACATATTTAGAGACTGTTTAGAGACTGCCATCAAAGACTTTATATACAATATGCAAAAGTGATGTTATTTCAATTTCTAAATGTAGTTAAAATTCATTGATCACCTAAAAAGCGTTTGTCGTCGTTAAGTGAACACACCTGGTTCTATACGCCCTTGTCTGTCTGAATTTATATGATATTTTAACGAATAAAGACCGTTATCTCGATACACGTTCAGCGAGCGTTTATGCTAATTTAGTGTAACAGATTGTATGAATATAAACTTTGCTTTCAATTTGAAGCAATTAATATCTTATCGAGTGTTGCTGGCAAGTGCGAATTTTCGCTAACGTGTTTGTCAATATTTTTACTTTAAATTAAGAGGCGTCGTGCCTATAGATTTTTTTTATACATTTTCTATTGAATATATGTAAATTTTGTTCTTTCTCCTTTTTCATAAAATTACAATCAATATCTTTAGCTTCTTATGCAAACAATTCAATTAAGCGTCACGTACGAATGAAAGCAAAAATTTAATTTTGCAACAATATAGCATAATCTGTATATTTATATAAATGATAAATTCCTTTGGACAAAATTTATTTGGTTAAACTAACTAATTAAATATAAATACGACTCAGCTTCTCAGCTTAATGTGTACAGACCTACGCACATATATAGCACACCCTCCTCTCAAAGTGTGTAAGCACTCTGTTACACTCTTAAGACAAGAAAGAGAGTTTTTTTTATTTTAATTATGAAATAAAAAAGGCAATCCTTTTTTAAAACATAAAATAAAATGTACAAAGTGTACAAAAAAATTTCTTCAACTCGAAAACTTAAAATATTGCAACTGAATTAATTTATGTTTACTATTATTAATCAATAATTTATTAATAATAATATTAATTAATTAATACTGTTTACAGTTAAATCAATTATTAATTAAGATGAAAAAGATTTGTCGTACCAATAAGATTAAAAGATCCCAAACAATTATGCTGTGCAGGAAACTTGGGCACAATTACATAATAATTAGTGATTACACTAAGAATTATAAGATTCCGTGATGCTCCCATTCCCTCTGAACCTATCCACACTACCAATAGCCTTGATTGTAGATGGGTAGTTTACTCAAGATCATGAGCAATTATTCCGTGCAAAAAACTTGAACATAATTACATAATAACTACTAATTACATTAAGAACTGTAAGATTCTCCGATGGTTCCCTTCTCGCCGAATCTCAACACACTACCAATAGCCTTGATTGTAGATGGGTAGTTTACCCAATGTTTTGAAAGTGCTTCAAACGTTGCAAGTGCCTATTGAAACAACCACAAGTAGAAGCGCTTCAATGTTAGGTTATATGAAGGTATGCAAGCTCGAGACGCTAGCCAGAAAGTGAGCGTAGCTATGAGCAGCGATTTAGTTAAAGGCAAAAAAATCGAAAAAGATATTTTCGAGTTTAAAAGTGCTTTCAAATCAATTCTTCCACCTTTATTCTAAACAATGGAAAATGTTGTTCATTTTTCGTGTCAAGTCAAAACAAAGAAGGGCAGCTTAAGAAAGAAACTCCGAAAAAGCTACTTTTAAGCCATGATTTAAAATTTATTTTTTTGACATCATTTTGACATCAAAGAGCCTACACATTAGAAGAATTTATATATCAACTGCCTTCGTCTCGAGATAATCTCTGTGTATACAGAAAACTAAAGAAAATGCAAATAATTTTTCGCATTATTAAGTTGATGCGTATATCACGCCTGTTTTTAAACAAAATTCTTTAGATGCACTGACGTTATTTTGCTGCATAAATTTATAGTAAAAAAAAAATGTTGTTTGCTTTCTTTCGATATTCTCTTCTTATGAACACGTGCTTTCCGCATTAAGTACTTTTATGGACGAATATCAAATTCATAATTAGGAGAACACATGTTTATACTCTTTTATCGGCGTCAAAGCTTCGTTATATACAAACATGTAAATAACGAGAATTGTGTAAATGTATGTATGTAATTTATTCTTTGTTTGAAGTACTTTCGAATACGCGTAGATTCACACACACATTCCGACGTATATGTATCTATATAAACGAGTATATTATGCTGCTCGTCATTTAAATACGTATGGCAGGCTACATCGGGCTTATTCTTTATACCCTTCGCTGTCTTCTCAAAAGTTAGTGACCTTTTCAGGGCCACAAATCAAAATTGAAACGTGATCCAGAATATCGTCGAACACTGTATGAGTGGATGCTATGCAAATGATAATTTTTAGCAATCCATTATTCGACGTAGAAATTTTAATGTATGTGCGTATATTCGTCCAAGAATTAGTTTCTAAATGGAAAAGAAAAAATATTCTTTCATTATGCTCTTGATTAAGACAACCAAGTGGTAAGGAAATTGGGCAGTGAATCGGCAAAAACCTTAATATCATGTAAATGTTGAAGCTATAATCAAACTCGGATGCAAACTTGAAAATCTATCCCTCATCAAGGGGCGTCTTGTCCGTATATAATTTAATTTTAAAAGATCTTTTATCAAAATTTGTAGTTTTTTTTCGACAGGATTTTGGTGTTAGCGCTGTCAGCTAATTGAATGGAAAATATACTATTAACATTTTGTTCCTTTCTATTTTTTCTAGAACATTCTTTATACTTTAGATGGAGGATTATACACTATTTCTTCGTTCAAACGTATTTTCCCCTCTTTAGGATGGCGTTTATTGTAGAGTCAAGTCTTCCATAACATGATTTATGTCGCATATCGCTCTATACGAAAATCGTATTACATGAAACTGAGAATTGATTAAACTCAGTAAAGGCATTGTGTATAATCCGCAGCATTAAGAGAAAAATCGAATTTATGTAAATCAGATTAAATGCCATGAATGAAAGGAAAGCACTTACTTCACTACATAACTTAGGAATAAGTAATAAATTAAAGGAAAGCGATGCTTTATTGTTTACTCATTCGTATGGAAATTCCCTTATAACGGGAAACGCGAATAAATGACAGCAATAAAAATTTAACATATCGAATACGTGCAGCGTAAGTCACATTTTTCAAGTCATTTAACTTGTTGATATATTCTTGCATGAAAAATGCATTGTAGAAGAACCGTTCGAATTGTAAAAATGTTTAAATTTAATTTATTTTTTATCTATATCTATCTTCTTTCCATTTGTAATTCGAGCCGAGCAATACAGTCTTTATTTTGTTTTTTTACAAAATTCTTATCAAAAATAGTAATATATTTCTTATGGGTAGTTTCAAGTGTGCCTTAAAATGAAAGGTAAATTTTTCGTATGTTTGGGTTTCACGATCAAGCTAGTTTCACCTTTTAGATCAATCTAAGCTTATCTGTCCAGCTGTACGTATGTCTGTACGATGTGTGGGAACGTTAAGAGCGCTCAACTTAGAAGTAAGAATTTGATCGATATTTTTACTTTGTACATCACCGTGTTGTTTCAGGCAATACCGATTTGAAAGGTATCCCTTGAAAACTTCAAAATACTTAAAAGAGAAGAAAATTAGGATGGATTGAGTAGAGTATTTAACGATCGATCTTGTCCAACTTTTGCAGACTTATAAAGGCAAATTCTTTACTATAGCTCTGCGCGCAGAAAACAAAAGAAGTTATGGTTTTTCTAACACCTACCCCAGTAGTGATCATGCCATACTCGACAGCAGAGTTTGTCACATTTGTAATAATTTGAATGAACGGATTTCGAATCAAAACATTTTATTATTATTATTATTATTATTTTAATTTTAGACTAATGAATTGAATTCTTAGACTAAAAAAAACATTTTAAAAATACATACAACGTTAATATAAAATAAATATATTCATCAGTCGTAAATATACTTTGTTTAGCAAGAGAGAGAAAGAGAGAGAAAGAGAGAGAGAGTTTGTAAAAAATAAAACAACAACAACGACATCTTAAGTTTTAAGTAGAGTAATGTATAACCTTGCACGCCATACCACATTTTCAAAAATGAATTCAAACTGAATTGTTAGAGAACACACACACAGAGAGAGAGGGGGAGAGAGAGAGAGAGAGAGAGAGAGAGAGAGAGAGAGAGAGAAAGAGTAAGACAGAGAAAGATTGAAAAATGCTTGATAAGTAGAGAAATAGAGAAATCAAACAACAGAACAGTAAGTAAGACAAGTCGACGACGACTTTTATATTTATACAAGAGCGCTTGAAGTGTAAATTCATTACGTCCGTATAAGCGAAAATAAAACACAAGCTGAAGTAACACAATGAAATATTTGTGAAGATATTAAAGATGATGTTGCATAAAAAACCAGTCTCATGATAAAGGCGAAGATCGCAAAAATCGTCAAAAAGTTTAAAGAAATAGTACCGGGGGAATGTGTTAACATAAGTGTCTGTTCATTATCTGAAACATGCGGCTTTGCATTGAAGAAGAACTTTTAATAAAAGTTAAAGTTATATATTTTTAATAAGAAAAATTCATTGGAAAAAAGCATACAATCAAACAAAAAAGAGTTATAACGTCTGGGGAACTTTTACTTTCGAAAAATAAATAAAGATAAGATTAAAAAAGAATTTTTTTGACAAATCAAAAAATGACTTCCACAATCTTGCAACCCACTACTGCTAATGGAGAGACCTCTAATATATGCTGGGAGACGCAGGAGAAACTTCGATTTTCATGCATTGATAATATTAAATGGAAACAGTTATGGAAAATAATTGCTCTGGACACTTACACAAATAATGAAGCAACGGCAAAGCGCCGCAATCATAACTTAAGGAACAAAAGCAAGGAAAGTCTAAGAAGATCTATTAACAGCAATGAGGTGCGTTTATGTAGAAAAATTTAACTCAATATATTTAAGAAGCAAAGCATTTCCCACAAACGATCAGTCATAAATAATTTTTCATTTATATCTATTATAAGTCGACAAAATACCTGCGATAAAATATTAAAAGTTAAATATTTTGCCGATGAGTCAGGTATCGACTAAGCTGATCAAACGTGTTTATGTGTTTGCTGAGTTATAAGTCTTTTCGCCATGAGAAAGTAGTCACACGTATAGGAACTTAATTTGTAAGTTGACGCAATGTTCTGACCAACAATCCAACAAAATTTACTATTGCTTATGTGTTGTAGATGTAATTAAGATATGGGCCCCTTTTAATTGCCAAAATGTGGAAAGGATAATTAAATGTAAACAAAATTGTATTTAACCAGATATGTGCACTAAACGTAGCGGGTTATGTGATTTTTTAGAAAGGTTTTAAACAACGCAATGCAGCAATATTGTCATGTTTTCATGGCGGTTATTAAGAGATTCGACTTAATCGCAATATAAGCTGAGCAAACATGCACAAGACAACTTTGGATAATGTTTGTAATAGGAAACACAATGAATACATTTACTTTCCAGGTGTAAAAGTGACGTCAATTGCTTTACGTAGACCAACTATCAACCAAGTTTGTACGTGATAAGTTTCTACTGCACTTTGCATAAGATCGGCTAAACCTGCTTATAAAAACAAAATTCAAAGATTTCTGTAACAATTCACATTAAAAAAAAAAAAGAAAAAAACAATGACGAAGAAAAGAAGAAAAAAGAAGAAAATTATAACTGAACAAGTTTGTATAATTTTTGTATTTGTCATACTTGGCGATATTGCTTTTACATACAAAATTATAATTTGGTTTTGATTGAATCCTAAATATTAAACTAAAAATAATAATAAAAAATCTATTAAGAAAATAGGCGGATTCGATCTAATTTCACGGTACAAAACTTAGAATTAATATTTCTTACAAGCCTTAAGTGAGTTCTTCTTGACATTTTGAGAATTATTTTAAGTTCTTAATTATGGCGGCAAGCTAGTGATGCGGATTGCGTCGATTCCTCGGCTTTATCCATATAAATTGACTCGAATGTCCTTTCTCAAATGCTCCTTGTACAGACTAAATGTTCGGAAGAGAAATGAGCGCTTCTTCGTATCTCTCGCATTGCTTTGCATTGAATTTCGGTTTTCTAAACTAGTTTGCTTTTGAGACAACTTACGCGATATGGTCGAGTAATCACAGCTGAATAAAAGTAGAATTTCAGATTTCTTATTTACAGCCCATTAGTTGAAAACAACGAAACGAATTCTAACCTTCCAGATAGTTTTGTGTCGTTCTAGAATTCGTTAAGGGATAGTGTAAGTTTGTGTATGGAAACAAATTTTGCTTACACATTAGTATTAGTTTCTATAGAAATCAGATTAGAATTTATATAAGGTCGAGTGTTGAGTTAAATCGCGAAATCACAGCCAAAAAGGAATTGGAATCTTTATAAAACTTGTATTGGTAGGCAAGACGCTCTAACTGCTGGCTTCCCAAGAATAACAAATGCAGTCATGAGTGTTTCAATAGCCAAGATAGTGATAGCCAACTGATTATTTAAGGCAAACACACAATTAAAATATACAGTTGCTATAGTAAAATCCATGCTCATTATTAATTCTATATTCTATGAGAAAGGAGAAATCGATCACGATGACAAATTTACGAGCACAAGTAGCACACATATCCACGCGTAACCCGTTTAAAATTCGGCTCGAAAGGCTTACTTAATATCTCTACTGAATATGGTTTCCATGTATTTGCTTATATTAGTTTTCTATTTTTTTTATTTTAAAAGCACACCAAAATTATACCTTCGCCGTACGCTTATCTTTGCTTTCCGCATTTATTGCTTTATTGCATTCGATCAAAGCCGAATATAATTCTCTTTACGATGCTGAAAAAGAATTTTATACTTAATGTTATTTCATTTTATTTACATTTATATTTGCATATGTACATAATCTTATTACGTGTCATCACAAAGATGGAATGAGAAAGAATTTCTCAATTTTGAGGTTTTAATTAAATTGTCGTAATACGTTGGCAAATGCATTGATTATAGCTTGGAGACGATTTATTCATTCGACAAGGGTGGCTTTTTTTTGTATTAGCGCTTCGATGCACATTTCCAGCTCCCTACTGCGACGACTTAAATCGCGTATGAGCACCTCCTGAGCCTCACTTAACTGGACATTCACTTGATGGATATTCGCGAACGCACCGTCAGCATGTTGAGATAACGTGGCGTACCAATTTGCAAAACCGATAATCGCCAATCGCTAAAACTCCTCAGTAAATTTTCATGGTTCAGAATTTTTTGTGCTATAAAGTGATAATTAGATCGAGTTGAAATACAATGGCGGCAAAGTTCTCTTCTTCTTCTTTAATATTCAGCGTTGGTGTTGAAAATGGGCCAAATCGGTCGAAGGAGACGCCCACAGTACCACGCAAACTGAGAATACCTCTGTTTTTCAGAGGGAATGAAAGATTGATCTGTTACTGATTATTCTATGGGCGATGCTGCAGCATTTGTGCATAAACATGGAATAAATTAACCACGCCTACCCAACAGTACTGTGAATCACATTGCAATATTTTTTTCTTTAATGCCTACGTAACGCGAAAAACAAGCTTCAAAAGTCAGTTTCAAATTTGAAATGCGCCTAAGGATGTTCGTCTTTCCGTTTGTCTATCTGTGCGGCTGCCCAACTGCGTAGGATATGGGGTAAACATTCTCCCGTTAAAGAAAATGGAGATATCGCCTAAAAATTTAGAAATGGTCTCAACTTTTCAAAGGACACATCTACCACGCCCGCACCTACTACATGTTATAGAGAATGAAAATGTAGTTGTGTCACTTTTCTGCCTCTTTTAAGATAGTGGCGATGGGCATGAAACATTCGGTCGCGACCGAATATAATTTTCTTGCTTGTTTCTTCTTGTTTCAAAACTTGATCCTCTTTTTTCCAATAATTATTTCCATTGGTTTAATTGCTTTTGACAAATAAAATGCATTGAAATTTCTGAATTTTTTCGATGTTATAACAGCTTTCCAATATAGAGACATACGTAGACATTTTTGAAATAGAGGTTAGAGATACATTTTTCAAATTTTCTTAACGAGATCAACACAGAATAACAATTAGTGGCTGTGTTTTTTATAACTCCGGGAAGACAATGTTGCATGCTGATAGCAACGGCAGACAGACTCTTGGAATCTCTCTACTACATTTACATATATATATATATATATATATATATTTCTATAACCTATGAAGCTATTTATTCGCTATTAAGTACGAATCACAAAATTAGACTAAAAACAGTTTAATGTATGTACAGCAACAAACATTGGTATGAATAGCACGTACCACGTATTCACCGCATGTATGATGTTATATAGTGAGTTCGTTTATTAAGGTCAGTATTTACGTCATGTTGCAAAACTAGATGTGTGTGTAAAAAATTGCTTGAAAAAAAAAACCGACGGAAAAAACTAAGTACTTGATTGTAACCATTGCTGGCTGAAACATAGATTAATATGAAAAGCAAAAATAAAAGAACAAAAGAGCTTTACAAAAACGCACCTACAATTCCTTTCTCTTTCTGTTTACTTCTTCTCGGTCCAAATATTTTTTATTGGCTTTAAGCCATAAATGCCTGGAAAAGTTGGTTCGTTGAAGTTAATGCAGTCGGCAACTAACTGTCCATCGGAATCAATTTAATCCTATTTTAATTGTCATTAACCAGATCGCTGATCCGTTCACAATTTGCAATGACATTTCGTAAACAACAATTACATTACTTACAACTCTATCGTTATCGTTTGGAAAACATTTTTGGTTTCTGAAAGTAAATTATAGTGGAATGCATACCGAATGCATACACATTTTCCCTTTCATTTTTATTATATAATTGAAGTCGATATATACTTTCTAAGAAAAGCGCTTTACTCCATGAAATACAATCCATATGTTTACCACATAAATAAATGGAAAAACATGTGTGAACCACATTTGCTAGAACTTTGATGCAGAATTATTTTTAGATCCAATACATTTTTTTTCTTTCTTGTCTTTCCTGTCCAAGTATTAGTGTTTGTTTAGTCAGAAGTTTAATGGAATGAAACCCTTAATGGGTATTGCGTCACTCATCTCACTTCAATCCGTTCACCCGTGAATGTAATCATATCATATCATATCACTCTTTCCAATTAACATAAAAGTTTACTGCAAACCTCTTCCTTCTTTACATTATAAACATCCGAGCAAACTGTAGGGTCCTGTGCTCTCCTCCCCCAAAATTGAGTGGGATCACTGAGGCGATTACCACGCAATAATTGCATCTAAAAATTTTTGATTATACTTGGTCTGCCATAGATTTTCCAACGAGCGAGCAAAACAAATCGATACAACAGTTGCCCATCCATGCTATTCAGCTTATCTGTCCACTTCTTTGGCGCGCGGACTGCAAACAGAAGAAGCCTTTAACTTGTTATTGTGTGATAATGAACGCACGGTGTTCAAAATTCATCCTAATCTCCTTGGGCAAAGTTTTCATAGTTAAACTACTGTACATTTAAAAATACATATTAACGCTTTAGTAACGATCGTTATCTATATATTTCAAGAATTTTCAATGGCTCTAAAATAAAGACACAAAGGCAGAAACTTAATGCACACTCTCTTTCGATTGTTTTTTCGCTCTAGTTCTCGTTCTCTTTGCTTCTCTTTTTCCATTAATTCTCTGAGAAGCTTAAAGACAAAAACACTTTAATATAATTTTGTCAACGTTAACATTCACATCCTTATGCTCATTATGCTAGAGTAAGAAAACAGTGTTTTGTAAAAATTCAACTTCGCGCAAATTAATAAAAAGATGTTCAATTGTTGTATGTCAGATTTTCTTATTCCAAAGTTTAAAACTTCAAGTTCTCCTTCAATATTT